TGGCATCAATGCTCACTGTGAGCAATAAGTTCTCCTTTTTAATTTCTGTCCTTCTCAGTGATTTTTTTTCTCTCTTGATAGCTCACACTTCCTCCTGCATCTGTTATTAATCCTGGAGTGAAGATTTTAGCCCTAAATGCTGCTTTTATCATGCTGTTCCTTCTATATGATCTGCTCTCTGGGTCAAATTGATTTTTTACAACAGTGGTACCTTTGGATTTTTGAGCAACTGTGTCCATCATGGATTGCCATGCTTGAAGTGCTGCTGAACCAACCACTACCAGTTAATGAGATTGTAGGAACTGCCGATGCTGGAGTCTGAGATAACCAGGTGTGGAGCTGGATGAACACAGCATGCCAGGCAGCATCAGAGGAACAGGAAAGCTGACGTTTCGGGTCTGGACCCTTCTTCAGAACTACCAGTTAATGACTGGGGTAGTGTGTGGCCACCAATCCTTTTTACTGTTTGAAATAAAACCTTAAACAAGTTAGACACTTGTCCTTTCCAGATTTTATCTAAGGGCCTGATTGGTTAACTGTGGTAGAGGATGAACCATCAGTGAGTATTAACAAGAAGAGGCATTTGTCTTATGAACAAGATATAGTTTATTGCATGATAGTAATAGATACAAGTTAATATGCTAGTTAGACATATTTGCTAAGACTAACAGATGCTAAGATGACACATTTGACCCCAATGGGCAATTGAGCTCGACTTTTCAATTCTCCACCCAAGACTGTATGACATCATCAGATTGAATGGACCCCGTTGCAGTCTCTAACATTAACTTTTAGCATTACCTTATACAACACCCAAGACCTCCTGAAGGCAATTGCTGTCCTTCCTGAAACATAGAAAATATATGCAAGGTTAAGCCATTTGACCCTGCAATCCCACTCCGCAATTCAGCACGATCATGGCTAATCATCCAACTCAGTACCCTGTTTCTGCTTTCTCCCCAAACCCTTTGATATCTTTAGCCCTAAAAACTGTAAATAATTAATCGAAAACATTCAATGTTTTGGCTTCAACTACTTTCTGTGACAGAGAATTCTACAGGTTCACCACTCCCTGGATGAAGAAAGTCCTCAACATCTCAGTCCGAAATAGCCTACCCTGTATCCTTAAACTATGACCCCAGTCATAGTTCCCGGTCATCAGAAACATCCTTTTTGCATTTACCCTGGCTAGTTCCATAGGAATTTTATAGTATTTTTCATGAGATTCCTCTAAACTCCAGTGAATATAGTCCTAACCAATCCACGCACTCTTCATATGTCTGTCCTGGAATCAGCCTGGTAAATCTTTGTTGAACTCTCTCCATGGCTAGATCATCCTTCCTCAGATAAGGATGTCCGCCATCTATAAGGCACATGTCAGGAGTGTGATGGAATACTCCTGACTTGCATGGATAAGTGCAGCCCCAATAACACTCAAGAAGCTTAACACCATCCAGTACAAAGCAGCCATCTTGATTGGCACTGCATCCACAAGCATTCACTCCTTCCACCACTGATGCTCAGTAGCAGCAGTGTGTACTATCTACAAGATGCACTGCAGAAATTCACCAAAGATCCTCAGACACCACCTTCCAAACCCACGACCACTTCCTTCTAGAAGGACAAGGGTACCATCTCCAAGTTCCCCTTCAAGTCACCCACTATCCTTACTTGGAAATATATTGCTGTTCCTTCACTGTTGCTGGGTCAAAATCCGGGAATTCCCTCCCTAATAGCATTGTAGGTCAACCCACAGCAGGAGGACTGCAGCGGTTCAAGAAGACAGCTCACCACCACCTTCTCAAGGGCAACTAGGGACGGGCAAGAAATGCTGGCCAGCTAGCGACGCCCACATCCCACAAATGAATAGTAAAAACAAGGAAACCAAAGCTGCTCACAATAATCCAGACGTGGTCTCGCTATGGTCCTGTACAATGGCAGCAAGGTATCCACTGAGCTACCATGCTACCCCACAGGGTTCCAGGTTTTTTACCTGTATAAAATATATGGACAGTTCGATGAACTGCCATCCTGCAATTGTGATTCAGAACATCCTGGAAGTGATTAAGCAGCTTGTAGGGACTTGCAAGGTGCAGTTAACAGATGAAGTCCATTCCTGCTGTAGCGTATTTCAGACTGTCTTGAAGGATTGGGATGGAAATTAAATAACAACTAAAGAAAAACTGATGTTCAAAGTGCTAGGAATTGCAAGTACAGTACTGCAATCCAGTATGAAGGATCTTTGATAAGTGAAACAAGTAACTGATCTTATGCTTGTATGTTTATAGTAGATTAAATATAATTCATATAGTTCTTTGAAGTCTAATGTATAATACCTTGACACATTGGATGGAATTAGGTCCTGTAAAGATCTGCTTCATTTTTAATAAGATATTTGGTATGTTTTTCCTTTGATTTTCTTTTTGCCAGCTTTTCTTCAACAACCACCTAACCTCTTGCTTACAGTTGAAAAGGCAAGTGTATAGCCTACACTTGGATCACCATTGACACCCATAGCATTAACATGCATTTATGTAGAAAATTTAACATAGAACAATATTTCAAAATGTTTTATAGATGCTTCATCAAAAATCAGATGCCACACCAAATACGATATAAGGCGAAATGACTAAAAACTTAGTCAGAGGTCTGTTTTAAGGACGTTCTCAAAGCGGGTGAATGAGAAGAGAAATGGGTTTTGATGAAGATCATGAGCCATTGGACTTGAAACGTTAATTCTGCTTTCTCCCTACAGATGCTGCCAGGCCTGCTGCGTTTCTCCAGCAATTTCTGATTTTGTTTCAGATTTCCAGCATCTGCAGTTCTTTTGTTTTATTATAGTCTTGATTTCTTTGCTGATGAAAAGTCTGTCTGTCTCAGTCCTAAATATACTTAATGTCACAGCCTCTACAGCCCTCTGTGGTAAAGAATTCCACAGATTCACTACCTTCTGAGAGACTAAATATCTCTTCGTCTCTGTCTTCAATGCGTTATCCTTTACTCTGAAAAATACAGAATTTGTGATATGAACTAAATTCAAAGGCTTTTGTCTCTCCAATTCTCAGGTAGATGAAATTTATCTTGTCCATGATTGAATATTGAGTAAACTGTCTAGTAATATACAGGTTGTGGTTTGTTCGAGAGAGGGAAGGTGGGATTGATCTAGCCCATATTTGTGGAACATGTTAAACAGAGACGGCATATAGGTGGGAAAGGAAGGGGAGAGAACAGTTCTTTTGTAGCACTCCACAGGTAAGCATGCAGTAGTGAGAAAATGAAGATCTGCCCGCAATAGGGTGGATAAGAATACAGCTAAGCAATGTGATCAGCAGTTCAGTGAAAACTAAGTTGGGGCAGCAAGTAGTAGTTCTGGTAGACAAGATGAGCTCAGTGGGAGCTGGGCATGAAACCTGAAGCAAACACAAAGGAAGCTGAAGAAACCCATCAGATCTGGCATCATCCTTAGAGAGTGAAACAAAGTTACCATTTTGAGTCTGGTCTGACTCTTCTTCAGAACTTGTGGGCAACTTCTTCAGAAACAAGTGAATGTGGACAATTCCAGGCACATTACTTCAGGAAAGCCAGAGATGGTTCAGAAGAGATTTACTGGGATGTTGCAGGGAATGGAAGGTTTGAGTAAGAAAGAAAGGCTGTATAGGCTGGGACCTTTTTCACTGGAGCATAGGAAGTCGAGAGGTGACCTTATAAAGGTTTATAAAATCATGATGGGTATAAATAGGATTAATGGTAGGTGTCTTTTCCCTAGGATGGGGGATTTCAAGACGAGGGGACATATTTTTAAGGTGAGATGAGAGAGATTTTAAAAAGACATGAGGGGTAAATGTTTTACATGGGAGGGAGGGTGTTCACGTGTGGAATGAACTTCCTGAGGAAGTGGTGGATGCGGGTACAGTTAAAATGTTTAAAAGACAATTCGATAAGTACATGAATAGGTAAGGCATGAAGGGATATGAGCCAGAAGCAGGCAGGTGGGACTAGTTTAATTTGGGATTATGTTCTACATGGACTGGATGGATCAAAGGGTCTGTTTCTGTGCTGTATGACTCTATATATATAAAAACTCAGTCATCTTATACTGGCCAGTCAAGAGTGCATTATTCTAGGGTATTTTTAATGATTAACCTGCCAAATTGAATCATTGGCAGTAACTGGAGTGGGAGTCCTACCATTGGAATTCTTCCCATTTCCCCTGGAATAGTTTGAATTGTCAGTATTCCAAATGATCCTAGTTCAACAAATAACAGGAAGCTTTTTAGTGCTCTATGCCAATGTGTAAAATTTATCAACAAATAAGAACTAGCCCATTAAGCTTCGACTGTATAGGCCAACAAATGAGGCTTAGGCTATGTGAAGGGACACGTCCGATCTGGAACCGGCGTGAAATATGCCATGTTCAAAACTATGATATATAAAGATGGGATTGCTACCTTTACTATTAAAAACAAACTTGCATATGATACTTTATGGACAAGTGTGAAGGAAATAGATGCTAAGCGAAGAAAGTGGTTAAAGAGTGACCAATTTGTTATTATAAGATGTGGCTTTTCAGGAGCATTTCAGAGGAGGACAGTTTCTAATATAATTATTGTATAGCACAGCAGTTTGTGTAATCTCGGATTGCATTGTTGTAGAAGCTGAAAGCAACAGAGATTTTGTACAGGCGGTAAATTTTGTGCTTAGTTCAAATCATCCTTGTCCAGTTTAAAACTGTACTGCATCTTTGGCTAACCAGTGAGATGTTTGCCTCTGTATTTGTGTTGCAGTCAGGAACTGAACCAAATAGAACGGTATTGATAAATAAGTTGAGCTGTTGCATATTGGCGCTCCGGCACACACCAGAAAAACATTGTACGATGTCATTGATTCTTAATTCTTATTACTAAATTAATCAACTAATTAGTATGGTTACCAAAATTTATGTAAATATGCACACGTCTCTCAGACAGCCTTGACATTTCTAAAATTTGCCATTCGCACAGATATCTCAACACACAGTTCATCAAGAAAAACAAATTGACAGAAGCTGACCTGCAGTATGGGTACGGTGGAGTGGATATTATTGAACCACTGATGGAGATAGGAGAGGTAAGGTCAGCCAGAAAAGAGAAATTCCTATTTGAATTGAAACATTGATCTGATCAATATGTTTATTTGAAATTCTGTTGGAACAGTAACTGAAATTTTGACAGGTCAGTGCAGATCAAAGCTTTTAAACTCCTGGTTGCATAATCTACATAATAGTGCATATATAGTGCATAAAACATCCATATATAGTGGGGTGGTTTCAATTGATATTCAAAGTGAAGTCACAGGGCAATGTCTTTTAAAATAACAGGCTCTCAGACCTGAAGAAATGCATGCAAGTCTCCTCCGTGGTATTACGTGTGATACCAAGTATGTACTTCTGTCCCTTAAAGCGAGTGTTGATGTATTTTTTCAAGCTATTTTCAAAATAAAATCCATTGGACTGCATGTTCTTCTGCTAGAAATGATTTAATCACTTTATCCTTAAAAAAGATTTGTTTCATGTTCTCCCTCTTTCTGTCCTTTGTATGTTCTGCATTCTATAAAGAGCTGCTTTCTGGCAGCAGCTTTGATATTCTTCTGTTATCGGTGTCTTGCTGTTTTCAGGCAAGAGAAAGTTGACTCCTTTAACAGTTATTGCATCTGACATTTATGTTCCTTACGGAATCTTTTCATCTGACTTGTACAACTTTTAGGCAAGAACATTATAATATCTGTGCAAAAAGAAACAGCATTCTCAGAAGCAAGGCACGTTAGAATGGAACAAATGAAATCGTATTATGTAGTATGTTTTTAAATATGTAAACATATTGATTTTCCATTTTAAATATCATAGCTTCTCTCTTTCTCAAATTCTTTTTCTGTCTCTCTCCCTTTGCCACCACCTCCCATTCTATTTTTGCCCTTATATTTAGAAAATTGGTGTATTTCAGCTTAATTCCAATCAAAAATTTTGCATTTCTAGCTAGCTCTGGACATGTGGAAGAAACTGATGATTGAGCCATTACAAACCATCCTCATCCGAATGCTCCTCCGGGAAATAAAAAAGTGAGTGGATATCAATTAACATTAAATTACTTATTCAGAAATACCAGTGACCTAGTAACGTGAATATTTCTTCTGAACCATGACAGGTTGTATTTTTATCATATTTCTATTTCAAACTCTAGTTCTATGGTTTTAAGGCGTTTCCAGCATGGTGATAAGGCAGTAGCTACAGTCCTGTAATTCTTTAATAATTTATTCTGCAATCAATGGATTTGACAGCTTAAAATTAATGTAGAAGAATGGAAAATGCTCACTTCAGAAAGCTACAATACAGCCAGACCAAAGGCACAACTGTTGCTGCTTTCAGTTGCTGCTTTCAACAGCTATTTGGATATTATAGAGAATATCTGGATCGATGCCATTGAGATAAGTGGATCTTTTTCAAGTCGGCAATGGAGTGCCACAGGGATCAACGCTAAGTCTGTATTAAGTTAGAAGAAACTCAGTTGATCCACATCTTGACACGCAGTCTGACAGCATAAGGTTAGTTAGCCGCTCAGTGTAGATGGTGGCACTTACCATGAACTTGTTTTATACATGTGTATATATAAAATTGCAAGGATAAGAGGGATGGGACTTTAATGTGCTTTTGTTATGATTGCGCTGAACCAAGAGGAGCAGCCTGTACAGGTGATGTACTGTAAATCAGGAACAAAAACAAAGTTGCTGGAAAAGCTCAGCGGGTTGAAATCACAGAATCCCTACCGTGTGGAAACAGGCCATTTGGCCTAACAAGTCCACACCGCCCCTCCGAAGAGCATCCCACCCTGACTCATTCCCCTACCCCTGCATTTCCCCATGCCTAAGCCACCTAACCTAAATATCCCTGGACAATTTAGCATGGCCAATCCACCTACCCTACACATCTTTGGACTTTGGGAGGAAACCCATGCAGACACGGGGAGAATGTGCAAACTCCATACAGACAGTCGCCGGAGGGTGGAATTGAACCCAGGTCCCTGGCGCTGTGAGGCAGCAGTGCTAACCACTGAGCCACCGTGCCGCTCGGATGAGGATGAACATTTCAAAGGCTCCCTTGTCGAAGTTGTCATCACCAAACACATATTCCCCTCTCCTCACTTGTCCGCCTTTCACAGGGACCGTTCCCTTCGGGACACCCTGGTCCACACTTCCTTCATCCCCAACAGCCTCCCATAGCCCTACGGCACCTTCCCCTGTAACTGGCGAAGGTACAACACCTGCCCACTTACCTTCTCCCTCCCCACTATCCAAGAGCCCAAACGTATCTTCCAGGTGAAGCAACACTTCACCTGCACTTCCCAGAATCTCATCTACTGCATTCGCTGCTCACAATGTGGTCTCCTCTACATTGGGGAAACGAAACGTAGACTGGGTGACCACTTCACAGAACATGTATATTCTGCCTGCAAAAAAGATCCTGAACTACCTGTTGACTGCCACTTTAACACACCACCCTGTTCCCTGGCCAACACCTCTGTCTCTGGCTTGTTGCAGTGTTCCAGTGAAGTTCAATGCAAGCTGGAGGAACAACACCTCATTTTCCGCTTGGGGACCCTGCAGCCCTCCGAACTCAATATCGAGTTCAATAATTTTAGGGCCTAAACTCTCCCATGTCCCAGCCCCACACACCGGGCCTTGTTGTCAAATAGCCTGCCATTACACATGACCTGTTGTTAGTCACTAATAGTAATTAACAACTATTCACCCTCCCAGCCTGATCGCTATCAACTCCTTTGCCTGTCCAACTGTCTTTCTCTCTCTTTGGGCTCTATCCTGTCATTTACTCCCTACCCCAACCACCTCCCTGTTTTCGGCGTATAAACTGATGTTTACCCAGCCACCATCAGTTCTGATGAAGGGTCACCGGACCCGAAGCGTTAACTCTGTTTTCTCCTTCACAGATGCTGCCAGGCCTGCTGAGCTTTTCCAGCAACTTTGTTTTTGTTGTTGTGTGTAGGAGATGTACTGCCTGTATTGTGGCAAGTAGTGATGTTACTAAAAGTGCAGTGTCATCAAGTCAAGCATGGCGAAGCCGTGGAGGAAAATGCCACAGATGATCACTTAAAGGAAAATATAGATAATATCAGCGATTATTTTGAAGACAAGGTAGTTGTGTGGATGAGAGTTGAGAGCATATGGAAGTGTTTCAGACAGGCTGGTAAATACTGAATGGAGAATGTGAATTGAATTCTAACCATCGTGTGCTGGTCCTGATGGTTAAAACAGGAAGTAGACGCAACTTCTGTTCTTTTTCTTTTTGATGTTTTTCCATCCAATTCCAATTAACACTACGTGCCAGACAACATACACAGGAAAGATGCCAATCAGGTGGCGTGGAAGTGAAATCTGCCGTCAGCTGACAATACTCCAGTTATAGTCAGGCTATGAAAGAGCTTCTTGATAAACAGTGAGCCTTGTCATTGCAGCTGCAACTTGCCTGCTCAACTCTGTTCATTCACATAAGACTTTGTGAGAGTGGTGTGGAAGTTTTTGAAATTTAAATTTCACTTGTCAGTGTGTCACACATTACATTGGATTAATCTGATTCATTGCTATTGATTGACACCAGCCTGGCACAACTCATGATTGGTATGTATTGATGGATTTAGGAGAGTTGAGGACATTTCATTATGGAACAAACAATGATGTATTTTTGAATTCATTCTTTATTGAATGTTTATGTCAGTAGCCAGTGCTGCACACACCACTCTGTAGGATGTGGCTGAACTTGCATAGTCAGCTACCTCTCATTCCTACGCATCGTAAGTGTTCTTGTCCAAGATAAATCTCAATGGGGATTATTGAGATGTTGAAGGTAAACTCAGGACCTTGAGATTTGACTGTACCTGCCAGTACAATGAGATGGACCCAAACCTGGCCAGTCCTGACACCGCCATTTAGGAGCCCTCATTTTCTTGTCAGGATCTTCCCTTCTTTGTGCTCCCAACCCAATTTCACTAGCACGTATGCGTGCGCGCACACACTCGCTCATTAAATCAAACGCACACACCCCCAATCCATGCAGGTCCTGAGCCGTCATGCAAACTGCCATGCATCTGTACCCCTCCTTTGTGCAAAAACAAAACACTGATCCCAGAGTCATTGCACAAGCTGACTTGTATTCCACTACAAGATAAACATGCATCAAGTGCTGACGGTATTCTCATGCATCATTGACTTTATCTTGGAGTTAGGACAGAGTTTAAGAGGATAGTTTTATGCTAATACGTATTTATGACAAGGCACAAGCATGCTATTGACTTAATCCCTGCATCTCAACCCAGTGTCAGGAAATCAATGGAGGAAATGTCAACATTTCGGGTATTGCACTTCTTCGGGACCTGAAGATGGATAATACCTGAAACGTTGACTTCTCCTCCAGATGCAGCCTGGTTTGCTGTGTTTTTCCAGCCGACTGTTTGTCTACCTTGGATTCCTGCATCTGCAATTATTTTGTCTCAAGTCAGGAAATCAATATTGTGGCTCCTTTCTAACTCACTGATCCCACAAGTCAAGTCTCCTGCTCTTGTAGGCTCTATAAAATATCTTTTGAAAGTAAAAATACTATCTGGACCACAGCTGGTGTGAGCCAAGGCTTGTAATCAAGGCTTAGAGTAAACAATCTTGACTTTGCAGAGATGGAAAAGAAAGTCATTACTTGTCTACATGTAGAGAGAGAATGCAGTTGGAGTTGAATGTTCTTCATTCCGGAGTGGAATCTGTTGTCCTAATTCTCCAGGAGGAAAAGTTGATTTGGTTGGAGAGTGAGGGAGAGCAGTATTATTTCATCATTAATGCCAAGGGATAGCTGTAAGTAGTTGTCTAAGCTCCTCAGTGTATTGACACCCATTCATAACTTGATAATACAGGTCAGTGAGTTAGAATATGTTTAGTAAAATGAGACCTATTTGTAGTGAAAGCCTAGAAACTGAAATGAGAATACCGTAAATGGGAATACAGCAAACTTTGTTTTAACTGGCACCTTATGAACCGGCACTCTTGGTAAACTGGCAAAAATTATAAATCTCAAATACCTTAAGTTTACTGTGTTATTCTGTCCAAATATGATAGTTTTTTTGATTTATTTACCTCACTGCAAATGCACTTGTTGTTCAATTGAATAGCCACACGAAATATCAACAGTCGATTCCATTTCGAGTCTATTTCACCTCGAATATCGTGATGTCTGAGTAGTCAGTTGAGGGTGTGAGTGAGAAGGCTCTCTGCCAGTAAGTTTTATTTAAGGCAAAGTTACATTTTTGTTTAAGTGATTTATGCTTTAAATAAAGTTTGACAGTGATGCATACATCCCCTGCATTAATGTTTCCATTGCCCAGTGTGTGTTTTTACATTGATTACGTGGACTCCATGATTGTCTGGAATATTTGATCAATCAGCACACTCCTGGTCCCATAGGTGCCGGATAATAAAAAGTTTACAGTATTTTGAAAAACACTGCTTGCAGTAACTTATCAAAGATAAGTAGATATTTTTGCATTCTATCCTGCATTCCCTCTAATTTCCTTTCTAGCTGCATGGGCCTGTAAGGTCTGTGTGTGGCAGTGACTTCCAGAACAGTTGCTATCGTCAACACCAATTGCTGTACATCGAACCTTGGAGCAGCTGTGCACGTGCACAACCTAGAGAGAGCATTAATTCTGTTATGTAATTTAAAATGTGTTCAAGCAATTCATATATTTTGATTACTTTGAAGTCCAGTATTTTCAGAGAATCAAATACAGCAAATATTTTGCATAGCAGTAAGCTGAATGGCTTATTTATTTTGGAGGAGCTTGTTGAGCAAGACATGTCAGCAGAACTATGTGCATGCTGAATAAGATATGGCATCTTTTTTGTCCTACTGAGCATGCATGTTATCCCTGGGCTTAACGTTTCATCCAAAACAAACAGCTCCCATCATGTTGCATTCAGAGCAGCATTGATGTCGGTGAAGTAACAGCCTAGATGCTCAAGTTTGCTCAAATGCTGGAGAGGGATTTAAATATAATTTTCTGACACTGAAGTTGGACAGTTACCAGATAACTACTTCACGCCCATTGTATGTTTCTGAGTTTGCTTTAACTTTTCAAGGTTAACTATATATCTACTTTCAGCAAATAGGTTCTCAAAATGTTCATATGTTCCTGCAACAAAAGGACCATTTAGGACTGAGATAAGGAGAAATGTTTTTTCTTGGAGGGTGGTGAATCACCACTCCAAAAGTCTGTAAAAGCTCTTTGAGTATATTTAGAGTTTGAGAGATTTATAAGATCATAAAATGTGGGAACATAAGCCATTCAACTATGCAGTCGCCTGTCCCATTCAGTGAGATCATAGCTGATCTGATAATCCTCAACTCCATACTACTATCTTTTCCCCATAAACCATGATTCCCTTACTGGTTAAAAAAAAATTGTCTGTCTCGGCTTTAAGTATAGTTAATTACCCAGCCTCAATAGCCCTCTACGGTAAAGATTTACCACCCTCTCAGAGAAGAAATTCCTTCTCATCTCTGTTTTAGATTTGTAATTAACAAAGGCTTAAAGCATTATGCAGAAGCAATTGAAGTGTTCAATCAGCCATGATTGTATTAAATGGCGGAGCAGCCTCGACAGGTTGAATGGCCTACTTCTGTTCCTATCAGAATGCAAAGCAAAGTAGGTTTTAAAAACAACTTAATGCATTTTACGAAGATTTCTTTTGTTCCATTGTAATGCAGTGATCGCTGTGGAGAGAACCCAAATCAAAAAGTAATCCACGGGGTTATCAACTCCTTTGTTCATGTTGAACAGTACAAGAAAAAGTTCCCACTTAAGGTAAGAAAATTCTGGAAATTGTATGTTAATAATGAGGAATATATTTTTATCTTCTAACTATTGAGTTACTGCATCGCCTTCCAGATGACTGTGTTGGAAATGTGCATTTAGTTTAAGCAAAGCGGAAGAAATTGTCTGACATTTGATGGCAGCTCAACACGTTATAAAACTTGTATTCTGTCTGTATTCCGAAATGTGCATGTGATTTTCATGTGCCTGCTGAAACTGCAAGTTTATATTGAACACTGAACAGTTCACTGCACTTGGAGACACAGAAAATAATGGTCCTCACATGATTATTTACGTGTTTTAGTTTACTGTCTGTCTCTTTCAGTCGAATTATCTGTACCTAATTTAGAACAAGAAGAGAACATATGTGCGACAAATTGCTCAATTAATGTTAGGATTTCTGACTTTCATGAGCTTCACAATTTGAAATACTTAATCCTTGATCCTTTGAGATTTTGTAGGCATTCTAAGTAATTGTTCTTCCAACTTCAGTTTTATCAGGATCTCTTTGAAGGTTCATTTCTAACAGAAACGGGAGAGTATTACAAACAAGAAGCTTCAAATTTACTTCAAGAGTCAAACTGCTCGCAGTATATGGAAAAGGTATACAGTATTTACAGTGAAGTTGTACTTGCATGAAACAGTTTTCAGTGATGCCCGTTTGGATTCCAACTCAGAGAACGTTCATTACACTCCTGTTGTCACAGGTTTTAGCAAGATTAAAAGATGAAGAAGTTCGATGTCGGAAATATTTGCATCCTAGCTCATATGCCAAAGTAATTCATGAATGCCAGCAACGAATGGTAGCAGACCACCTGCAGTTTCTTCATGGGGAATGCCAGAATATCATTAAACAAGAAAGGAGAGAAGGTGAGAAATATGGTCAGTTTCCAGTTCACTACCTAAAAAGTTTGTCGACCAAATCATTTGTTGGTCCCAATGAATTTGGCTGTTGCTGTAATTGACATCTGAGTTGATGTCAAATGGTCTATCTGGAGTTATTCTTATTCAACCTTTTCATATTTTAGTGTCTTGCCAGAGCATTTCAGAGTTATGAGTTAATCACATTGTCTGGAGTTGCAAATAGACTAGAATGAATTAAAGGAAGTAAGGGGTTTTAAAGCAGTTCAGCAGTTTCATGGTCACCATTCTTGAGATTTTTTTTGATTTCTAGATTAATGAAAGTAAAATTCTTCGCTGCTGTGGTCAGATTTAAACTCATCTCTCTAGACCAGTGTTTCCTGTAGTCTGCACAACTAGACCATCAGCCCGTCAAGTGCCATATACTTAACATCCAGGTAGTAAAATGAAACTTACTGCTGCTAGACTGTAAGAGAAAGAGCAGAAGTAAGCCTTTTGGTCCACTGAGGCGGCTCTGGCATTCAATGAAATTATGGCTGATACAATAATCTCAGAGGTCATAAGAAATAGGAAGAACTGGAGTAGGCTGTTCGGCCCCTTAAGCGTACTCTGCTATTCAGTAGAATCATGGGTGATTGAACACTGCTCGTACTCACTTTCTTTCCCTTTCCCTGTAGCCCTTGATTCCCCGATGGATCAAGAATCCATCTATCTCAGCCTTAAATATACGCAAGGATTCTGCTGTCACAGCTGTTTATGGCAAAGAGTTCCAAAGACTCTCAACCAGAGGAAGAAATTCCTCCTCTTCTCAGTCTTAAATTGGCACCCCTTTGTTGTGGTTGGTTGTCTGGCAGAGCTGGTTTGTTGTTCCGCAGATGTTTCATTACCCTGCTGGGTAACATCATCAGTGCAACCTCCAGTGAAGCGCCGTTGTGTTTTCCCGCAAACTCTGGAGTCCATTGAGCTGGCACCCCTTTATTCTGAGACTAGCCCTCTGGTGCCAGACTCACATGAGGGAAACATCCTCTCAGAATAGCCCCTTAAGAATCCTGTATGTTACAACGAGATCACCTCTCATTCTTCTAAACTCCAGTGAGTAGAGTCCCAGCCTGTTTAGCCTTTGTTCATTAGACAATCTGTACAGACCAGGGCTGATCCGAGTGAACCTTCTCTGAACTGTCTCCAATGGCTATATATCTTTTCTTAGTTCAGCAAGCCATTACTGTTCACAGAATTCCACCTGTGGTCTGAGCAATGCTTTGTATAGTTTTAGCAAGAGCTCCCTATTTTCATAATCTATTCCCTTTGAATAAATTCCAAAAGTTATGTTTCCTTCTCTAATACCTGCTGAACTTGGATGTGATTCATGCATGAGGACCTCCAACCCCAGTGTTGCAGCTTTCTGCAGGCTTTCCCCTTTTAAAAAAATATATGGTAGATAAAATAAAGGGAACGTTGGTCTGGAACATCCATCTCCTTACTCAGGGTCAAATTTAGTTTGATAATTCTCCTGTGAAGCCCTTTGTTGTGTCTTACTATCTTAAAGGTGCTATTTAAATGCAGGTTGTTATGAAATATAAATTAATAAAACTTGAACTTCGTCTTTTTAAAATACTTTACACTTCTCGTACTGCCATATACTTCTCACAGACTTATACTTTCAAATCAGCAGTATGAAGAAGAGCCACTGATTCATAGATGATATGATGTAAATCAATTGAAATATGCACCTGTCTGATTGATATTTCCTTGAATTGATAAAACGTCAAATCTGTTATAGGTTCAAGTTCAAATGACTAGGCCAGTTACATCATAATTTAAAAGTACTATCTGGAAGAAGATGAACTTTATAATGCTATTATGATCTAATTGAAACCTGGGTTCGTCTTGCAAAATGTTTGGAAAACCATATATATCACTGTGGATAACAAGGTACAGGGCTGGATGAACACAGCAGGCCAAGCAGCATCATGGGAGCAGGAAGGCTGACGTTTCGGACCTAGACCCTTTCAGCTTTCCTGCTCCTATGATGCTGCTTGGCCTGCTGTGTTCATCCGGCTCTACACCTTGTTATCTCAGATTCTCCAGCATCTGCAGTTCCTACTAGCTCCTATATCACTGTGGAGGGTGTTTGAGCAAACTGAATTTGAAATTTTTCAGTGCTGTTCCCCCCTCAGCACTGTCAGCACTAAACTCTTTAGATTACACATCAAGACTTGAAGGAATGCTGGAGCATTGTCAGCGCCCTTGGAATTTTACTGTGAGAGTCAGATCTGCTTCTAAAATCAATGTTAACCTGCTATTGGTGCAATACTTTCTGTAACTTCCTTCACCACCAGAGGGCAGTCAACTGCAGAACTGTCGAGGTAAAGTTGGAAGGTTTCCTTTTCTGAAGAATGTGTTTTTATGAGCATGTTTTTTAGTCAGTAACAATTTTTAAATCTACAGTTTTAAATTTGAGTTCATATTCTCAAACTCTTACTGTGGGATTGAACTTCTCATGTTTTTGGATTATAAAACCTAGCGTTTGATTATCCTTAAAATAACCATGATAGTTTTTTATTGTTAACATGTTTATTTATAGCAGACTGGTAGGTTTCACCACCTTTATTGTAGGATTGTTGAATGAGTATATGCCAATAAAAATAAGCAGTTTCCCCATTTTTATTCCATATCCCCTTCACCCTCCAGCAGACATGGCAAATATATATACTTTGCTCCGTGCTGTCTCAAACGGATTACCTCATATGATTCAGGAGCTTCAGAATCACATTCATGATGAGGGCCTTAGATCCATCAGTAACCTCTCTCAGGAAAATGTGAGTCTGAACGATTTCTTCACCTTTAATTGTAAGATTAATAGTATGTTGTGGGCTAACTGTTAACTATTACGTAGCATCTCTGTTCATCATAAGTACTGTCTGGTTTTCGGTCTTGGGAAGTAAATAAAGCCAAAGGTAGTGCTTTTTTGCAATTGATTTCTGCAGTCACAGAATGTAAAAGAATGACTTGCCTTCATAAAGCCACCCCAAACATTTAACATCCAGTGAAGGACTTCCAAAAAATCTTATCACTGTTTTAGGGAATGTGGCAGCCAATTTGCACTTAGCAAATTCCCACAATCAGTAATAAAAACTGGAAGTGCTTTCTCCCTCTAAACTTCCTGCTGTCTTTATTTCAGATCTCTAGCATCTGCACTATTTTGATTTTGTTTTCATCCACAAACAGTAATGTGACAATGAGCAGATAGTCTGTGTTTCATTTTTGCCATAGAGGGATAAATATTGACCAGATCACAATAAGATTTTGTTTCTTTTCCATTCCTAGATTTATTTCTTTTGTATTAAATTTTGTCTTCACAAGAAACTAACTTGTATAACAACCTCCTAGTGCCATGTTCACCTTTTTTAAAATTCATTCATGAATATAGGTGTTTCTGGCTGGGTGAGGATTTATTGCCCACCCTTATTTCCCACTGAGAAGGTGGAGGGTGAGCTGCCTTGTTGAATCATGGCAGTCTGTTTAGTTTAGGTAGACCCACAATACCTTCGGAGAGGAATCCCAAGATTTTGACCTGAAGGGGTAGTGATACATTTCCAAGTCAGGAAGGTGAATGGCTTAAAGGGGAACATGCATCTGATTATGTTTCCATGCATCTCATGTTGCCGTTGTCATTCAAGATGGTAGTGATTGTGGGTTTGGAAGGTGCTGTCTAAGGTAGGTTGGTGAATTTCTGCCATGCATCTTAATAGATAATGCACGTAGTTGCTACTGAGTGTCAGTGGTGGAGGGAGTGAATGTTTGTGGATGTAGTGCCAGTCGAGAAAGTTGCATTGATCTGGATGGTGTCAAGTTTTTTTCAGTGTTGTTGGATCAGGAACTCATCTGGGCACGTGGGGAGTATTCCATCATACTCCTGACTTGTACCTTACAGATAGTGGACAGATTTTGAGGATTCAAGAGGTAGCTTACTTGCTACAGGATTCCAAATCTCTAACCTGCTCTTGTAGCATTTATATCTCTGGTCCAATTCAATTTCTGGTCTGTGGTAACCCCAGGATGTTGGTCGTGGGGGATTTAGCAACGGTAATGGTATTGAATGTCAAGGGGTGGTGGTTAAATTGTCTTTTGTTGGAGATGGTCATTGCCTAGCACTTGAGTGATCTGAATGTTCCTTGCCATTTGCCAGCCCTGCATGTTGTTCAGGTGTTGATGCATTTAAACATGGACTGTTTCAGTATGTGAGGAGATCTTTTGATGGGGCTACAGTTATTGGGCCTTCCCGGTGCCTTAAATGTATGCAAATATAGTTTTGTATAAGTGAGAAATGCCTTGGGTTTGCTTATTCTCCATAGGTAAAGACTGTACAGAATCAAACTGCTCTAGAGATTTTTTATGAATAAAATGTATTTTTGAAATTAAAAAAATGAGCTTTAATGTGCCTGTGTGTTAATGTGTAGCCAAAGGGTTCAATTGAGGGAAAATTTAGGAAGTTAAAGACAGTGGAACATGCAGTGGTGAAGGGTGGTGATATGGATAATGATAACCAGAGTGTGACAGGAAGGAACAGTATATAAACATAAGAGACCACCTGCAAATAATGTAAGAGCAGGTTAAAAAAAGTAGTTAAAAAGGTCAAATTAAAAGATGTTAACCTAAAAGACAGATGAATTGATGATGCAAATAGAAGCAAATGAATATGATCTGATGGCCATTACAGAGACATGGTTGCAAGATGACCAAAGCTTCTGATTATTCAGATGTACTTAAGTTTTCAGAATTTATAGGAAACAAGGAAATGGAGTAGCTCTCTTAATAAAGGATGATATCAGCACAGTAATAGGAAATGATCTTCATTTGGTAGACCAAAATATAGTTTTTCAATTTTTCATGACAATGATCTCACTAATGGTCAAGTGAAGATCATTCCAGTGGTACAGCTCCTTCTTTTTGGTGCTAGTGATTGAAACGCAGTCCTCCCATACCATGATTTTTGCCATGCATTCAAATCTCTGACCTTACTGATCTTATGCCAATTTGCCCATGGCTAAGGCAGTAATCCAGTGATTATTATCGTGACTTGTCAGGGGTTACCTCTCCTGATTGTCCAGTAGCACCATTAGCAGTATAACATGTAAAATTCTGTGGTTTCCAGGATAAACAAACAAGAAGAAATTTGATGACCAAGAGTGCGAACATTAATTGTGGTTGTGTCAGTTGGAATAGTTGAAATATTTCTGCTATAAAATATGAAGCACAGTTATCCTGAGAGCTGACAAAGAAGGTGATGATGGCATTTCAGCTGGTTTATTTTTCTGAATGCGTATTTTCTTTGATAAAGGCAAAAGCATGAACATCATTTAAAGCTCCATTTCTAGCTTGTTAGCAATATAGGGAAAACATCCAAGGATGTTCCAAGTAAAGTAACAGGTTCACACTTGTAAAAGACTTCTGATCTAGCTATTCCAGTGCAATTTCAGCCAAATTATATAGCTTTATTTAAAAGGGAACAACCACCTTTTTTTCTAAGGGAAAGTAGGATAGAAAGAATGAGCAAGACTCAAAGACAGTTGTGCACTGCAGTGAAGAATGCAATGAAATGGGAGAGAATAGGATTCGGTGAAATATGAATAGAGATATAAAAAGAATTAAACCATAAAGTGTGACATTTGCAATGACTTGTGTAAGCAATTCCACCGAAGTTCAAAGGATCTAATCTTAAAACAAAGTGCACTGCTGTATTGTAAAACTATTTGGTAAATGTACAGTTCTAGTTCCTTTCAGAGTGCTTTGATAAACTTTTCCCTCTTTGCTTTGAAGTGTTAAATTGTGCTGAAAGCAGATAATTCAGAGCTTAGTACCGATTGGCAATACAGCAGATTTTAATCAGTGGACTCCCAATGGTTTGCAGCCTATTTGACTATATGGATTGAACCAGTGATTAGGAAGTAGATGGAGTGTTGGTGTTCATTGCAAGGGGAAAGGAGTATAAAAGTCGGGAAGTTTTAATGTAGCTGGACAGAGCATTGGCAAGAACTACAGCTGGAGAATTATATACAGTTTTGGTCATCTTATTTCAAAAAATGTACAATTGCATTACAAGCAGTTTAGAAAAGGTTCACTCAACTCCTGAATGAAGAGCTTATGCCATGAAAAAGATTGTCCCAATTGAGGCTTTCCCCATCCGGGATTAGATGAAGGAGAGGTGATCTTGTTGAAAAAAATAAACATCTTGAGGTGATGTCATGGGTAGATATTGGGATTTTGTTTCCTTTTGTAGGCAAGACTGGAACTGGGGGAACTTGGAGACAGTAAGGACTGCAGATGCTGGAAGCCAGAGTCTATAGGTGTGAGGCTGGAAAGGCACAGCAGGTCAGACAGCATCTGGGGAGCAGGTATGTTAATGTGGTGGGCCAAAAAGTTGACTTACCTGCTCTTCGGATACTGTCTGACCCACTGTGCCTTTCCGGCCTCACACCTATAGACTAGAACTAAGGGAGATAGTTTAGGATAAGAGGTCTCCCATTTGAGATTGAGATGAAAAGAATTTTATTTTCTCTGAGAATCATTCGTCTGTGGAATTATCTTACCCAAAAAGTAGCAGAAGCCGTAAAATCATAGAACCTTTTGGCACAGCAGAGGCCTTGTGGCCCATCAAGGCTGTACCGCCAGAAAGATCCTACTTTCCATCTCATTTGGTCTCACTTCCCAGCACTAGGTCCATAGCACTTAATGGTATGACACTTCAAGTGCTCATTCAAGTACTTTTTAAAAGTCATGTCATTGAATACATTTGAGAATGAGTTACACTAAACAAGAGAGACCAGGTTTATGGGGAGCAGTCAAGAAAGTGGATTTGAGATATGATCAGAACCTTAAGAACTTTAAGCTTTAAGGACCAAATGGCCTACTCTTACCCCTAAGTCCTGTGTTCTCAGTAGAGCCCAACACATTGTGGCCTGATGTCTATATGTTCATTCTTTTCAACAGACCAGTGGTCAAATCAGCAGTGAGGATTCTGACTGATTTACTTGCTGGTCCTCTCAACCCCACCAACTGAAAAAGAAAACTAGGAATAAAGTCTAAGACTTAACTTTTCTGTGTTGCTAATTGTGGTGTCACAGATCTACTTTCTGAATCAGCCATTGATGGTATTAGCCTCGGTTTTATAAATCGAATTGCCCATCATGTCTGACAGTCCAGACCCCAGACCAGTAGCTGTACAGTCCAGATTTTAACTTTATTTCCTCGATTAAATTTTTTCTCCTTTTGACCAGATGCCGACACAGTTTGTGGAATCTGTTCTTGAAGTTCACAGTAAATTTCTTCAACTTATCAGTTCAGTCCTTAATGGAGATCAACACTTCATGAGTGCACTTGATAAGGTAAGTTACTTTAAATAAATCAGATTTTTTTTAAAAAGCTAATACTTGCTTGTTGTGACCGTTAGCAGATCTGATGTGTGTGATTTTACACTCCTGATGGAAGATGAATAGAACTGATAGTTCAGAAAACTTGGATAACTGTGTTAAAATATCACTTTCTTTTAAAAAAAAAATCCTGAGTGGCCTAGGGGCTGGATTATGTTAAATTTCTTAGGTTAAATGAGCCAGTACAGCAATTGACAGTGTTTTAGAACATAAGAGCTAGGAGCAGGAGTAGGCCGTCTGGCCCTTCGAGCCTGCTCCGCCATTCAATAAGATCATGGCTGATCTTTTTGTGGACTCAGATCCGCTTACCCGCGTTCTCACTGTATCCCTTAATTCCTTTATTGTTCAAAAAAAATCTACCTTTCTTTTAAAAACGTTTACTGAAGTAGCATCAACTATTTCACTGGGCAAGTTTTGTGAGATACAAAGTACCTAAATGAGGATAAGAATTGTTGACATCCTCACCTTGGTCTTTAAACATGAAAGGGAAAAAGTCTGTTGAAATTGCATAGGAAATGAACCAAGAATAAAGATTTTTTTTAAACATTTTTCTTTTTATGGGTAACATGTTTAACTTGTTAAAGTTCGCAGGCTGACAATTGTGTTATGGTGAGATAGTGCCCTCTGGTGGTAGCATTATAGAATGACTTTTGTTTTTAAAAACAGATATCATAGGAACAGCAATAGGCCATTCAGCCCTCCAGAGCTGTTCCACTATTGAATGAGATCGTGGCTGAACTGTGGCCTAACTCCATATACTTGCTTTCGCCCATATCCCTTAATACTTCTGTTGAACAAAAATTTATCGAAGTCAGATTGAAAATTGACAACTGATCTGACATTGACCGCCTTTTGTGGGGGAGGGTTCCAAACCTCTACTACCCTTTGTGTATAGAAGTGCTTCCTAACATCTGAATGGTCTGGCCCTAAACATCAGACTATGCCCCCTGTTTCTAGAATGCCTAACTAGTGGAAATAGTTTATTGTTGTCTGCCCTGTGTTTTTCTTGTTAATATCTGGAAGACTTGAATCATATCACCCCTTAATCTTCTAGATTCTCGAACAAATTCGGCCTGTTTTTATCTCTCCTCTTTAGTTAACCATAACTTAAGTCCTTGTAAATCTATGCTGTACTCCCTCCAAGCCAATGTATCCTTCCAAAGGTCGCATGCCCAGATCTGCTCACAGTACTCCAAGTGCAGCAGTTCAAAAGGACAGCTCAGCACTATTTTCTGAAGGGCAACTAGGGATGGGCAGTAAATGCTGACTTAACAAGAAAAACCTATATCCCATGAATGACTGAAAAAAAGAACTTGTGTTTCTGTTAGATCACAGTCAGACCACTAGCTGTATATTACGCACCAGTTGTTAAACTGTGGGGGTTTCTTTGTTTCCATGAGAATTTATAACCTGTACAACATTTTGAGGAAATAAATTGTGTTGTTATCAAAGACTGTAGTGGTTTTCAGTTCTCCTATCCAGTGGCTAGCACACTTACCTGAAGGGAAGTTCTCTTTACTCAACTTCCTAATGCAGTGAGTTTACATTCAGAATTTCTGAAGTATGCTGCATTAATGTGAATTATTGTAATTTATATCCTTACAGCCTCAGATTAAGACACCCCATCTTGCATCAATGTCAATAGCATTTAGTTTGTGGGTGGGTGCAAGCACACAACATAATCTCAAGACTGACCTGACAAATTTAGTGCAGAATTCATTGGACACGGTGCCTCACAAAAGGCTGCTGCATAAGATAAAGGTGCACAGGGTTACAGGCAATGTATTAGCAAGCATAGAGGATTGGTTAACTAACAGGAAGCTAAGAGTGGGGATAAATGAGTGCTTTTCTGGTTGGCGATCAGTGACTAGTGGTGTGCCTCAGGGATCAGTGCTGGAACTGTAATTTTTTATGATCACCATAGATGATTTGGAGTTGGGGACCACATGTAGTGTGTCAAGGTTTGCGGATGACACTAAGATGAGTGGTAGACCAAAAGTGTGCTGAGGACGCTGAAAGTTTGCAGAGGGATATAGATAGTTTAAGTGAGTGGGCGAAGGTCTGGCAGATGGAATTCAATGTTGATAAATGTGAGGTCATCCATTTTGGTAGGAATAACAGTAAAAAGGACTATTAGTTGAACAGTAAAAAATTGCAGCATGCTGCTGTGCAGAGGGCGTCCTTGTGCATGAATCACCAAAGGTTGGTTTGCAGGTGCAACAGATTATTAAGAAGGCAAACGGAATATTGTCCTTCATTGCTAGGGGGATGGAGTTTAAAAGCAGGGAGGTTATGCTGCAGCTGTACAGGGTACTGGTGAGGCCACACCTGGAGTACTGCTTGGAGTTTATTCTCCTTACTCAAGAAAGCATGTACTGGGGGTGGGGTGTAGAAGAGGTTCACTAGGTTGATTCCGGAGTTGAGAGGGTTGGCTTATGAGGAGAGGCTGAATAGACTGGGATTATATTCATTGGAATTTAGAGGAATGAGGGGGGAATCTTATAGAAAGATATAAAATTATGAAGAGAATAGATAAGATAGAAGCAGACAGGTTGTTTCCACTGGTGGGTGAAACTAGAACAAGAAGGCATAGCCTCAAAATTAGGGGAAGCAGGTTTAGAATGGAATTGAGGAGGAACTTCTTCACCCAAAGGGTTGTCAATCAGTGGAATTCCCTGCCCAGTGGAGTAGTTGAGGCTTCTTTATTGAATGTTTTAAAGCTAAGATAGCTAATTTTTTGAACACTAAAGGAATTAAGGTTTATGGTGAGTAGGTGGGTAAGTGGAGCTGAAGCCACGAAAAGATCAGCCATGATCTTATTGAATGGCAGATGAGGCTCGAGGGGCCAGATGGCCTACTCCTGCTCCTGGTTCTCATGTTCTTACAGCTGACAAAATGACAGAGGACTTTTTCTCCCTTAGAATGAACTAGATTTGGTTTCTGTGCCCTGAGGTGATGAAAGAAAAGACTGTCATCAACTTTGTACCTTCTTTCCTGCCAACTTGATTTTCTTTACTGTGAGTTTGGTAGAGCACATGCCATAAGACCATATGACATAGAAGTAGAGGTAGGCCATTCAGCCCATCAAGTCTTATCCACCATTCATTGAGATTTTGGCTGATATGATTAATTGATTGATTTACTGTCACGTTTATCAAAGTACAGTGAAAAGCTTTGTTTACAAGCAGTGCAGGCAGATCATAGTAAGCGAGGATATACAGATCAGAGGTTATAAAAAGACTTAAGAGGCCTACAAGCTACATTGCACGGGGCAGGTGCTCCGCAAGATCAACGTTAGCAAGGTCAGCATTATTTGAGGCTAGGGAGTTCATTCATCAGTCTGATAATGGCAGGGAGAAAGCTGTTCCTGACATTGCTGGTGAGTGTGTTCAAACTTCTGTTGCAATCTATAGCAATATGATTGAGTTTTAACTGCTTTCAAAGGTTAGTTATAGTGGACAACTGATGCTCAACTTCTCAATGTTATCTGCATCCAGGGAAGAATATTTTTTCAAAAATTCCTTCCTTGGACAGCCAAGTAGGAGACAAAATAAACTCCCAATCTTAGTGGGTGAAAAATATTCCTGAAGGAAGTTGAAAATGTGCCCAAACTACTTCCCCACATGTAGGTGATAGAGGAGTGAGTAGCACTAACACGTGACCAGAGCTAGGGTGTTACTGTGGGTTTTCCCCTCAGGATATTTTTGTTTGATGCAGCAAAGCTTGTGATATTCCTAATTTGATTTGATTTATTGACACATGTACCTAAATACAATGAAAAGCTTTGTTTGCGAGCAGTACTGCCAGGTGATAATAAGCAAGGACACACAGATCAAAGGATGAAAGAAAGTCTTGGACAGAGTAAGGCATACAGGTTACACCGCACAGGACATACGTGAGGCGAGATCAACATTAACAAGATCAGCATTATTTGAAGATAGAGAGTCCATTCATCAGTCTATTAACAGCAGGGAAGAAGCTATTCTTGAACCTGCAGGTGCCTTTGTTCAAGCTTCTGTATCTTCTGCCTGATGGAAGAGGTTGTAGGAGAGCATTACCGTTGTGCAATGGGTCTTTAATGATGTTGGCAGCCTTTCCACGGCAACGAGAAGTGTAAATGGAGTCTCTGGATGGAAGGTTGGCTTCTGTGATGGTCTGGGCTGTGCCCACCACCTTCTGTAGTTTCTTACAGTCCTGGGCAGAGCAGTTGCCATATCAGGTCGTTATGCACCCGGACAGTATGCTTTCAATGGTGCATCTGTAGATGTTGGTGAGGGTCCTTATGGATGTGTGAAATGTCCTGAGCCACCTGAGGAAGAAGAGGCATTGTTGCGCCTTCTTGACCTTTGCATCTATGTGGGAAGTCCTGTCCGAAACTGTACCTTTTCCCTTTAACCCATGATTCCTTTACTGATTAAAATCGATCTCAGCTCTAAATATACTTAATGGTCCAGCCTCCATAACTCTGATGTAAAGAATTCCACAGATTCACTTCCCTTTGAGAGATGAAATTCCTCCTCATCTCTTGATTTAAATGGGTGACCCTGTACCCTGATTTTATGTCCTCAGGTTCCAGACTGTCCCACAAGGGGGAATAACCTTTCCGCTCCTCCTTTGTAAAGTCCCCTTATAATCTTATACGTTTCGACAAGGTTGCCTCTCATTCTTTTAAACTCCAGTGAGTTTCTGTGCACTGCTTCTGAAACTCAGTCAATATGCATTGTGTACAATTGAAGATAAGAACAATGAACAATTACAGAGTTGGAAACTTGTTGAAATACTGTTTGAGAGTTTTTTTTCTCCTGTAGGCCCTAACATCAGTAGTAAACTATAGAGAACCCAAATCTTCCTGCAAGGCTCCAGAGTTGGTGAGTATGGCAAACGTTAAGGTCCGCAATATTTTTATCCAATTCTCAACTGACACTTCGGAAGGACATTAACTCAGGTTCTGGACCAGTATTTAGGAATGCTGACTTATCTTGCAATCACACTTCATAAAACCAACCAAAGGCAAAATGCTAAAGATGCTGGAACCTGAACAGAAGCAGAAAGTACTGAAACACTCTCCGCATTAGATAGGGTCTGTGGAGAAATCAGACTAGTTAATAATTCAAGGTTTCTACTTTTGTTTCTCCCAAAGTGGGATGCAGCATCATTTATTCCTCAGTTCCCAAGACTAAGAGAGATATCAATTATACTGAATGTCCTTTGGACCTCCTCTGTGCTTTCAGAAACACAATTTTAACACCATAGGCACCAGAAAGACACCACATTGAATCCTTAGTGAATTGATTTCATAGAATTGTGAAACTTCATGGCACAGAAAGCGTTAATTCAGCACATTGTGTCAGTGCTGGGCAAAAAGGGCGAGCTGCCTAACTACACTTTCCATTTCTTCGCCTATAGCCTTGCAAGGCTGTGGCACGTCAAGTTCATATCCCAGTACTCTTGTAATGTGATGAGGGTTTCTGCCTGGACCATCCTTTCAAGTAGTGAGTTCCAGACCACCCTCTCCATCCTGGTGAAAAGGTTTCTCCTCAACTTCCTTCTAACTCTTCTACCATTTGCTTTAAATCTGTGGCCCCCTAATTATTGATCTCCCTGCTAAGGAAAATTAATCCTTCCTATCCACTCTATCTATGCCCCTCATAATTTTATACATACACCTCAGCTGAGGCCACAGAGGGGACAGGATAATTAGACTATCACTTTCTTGAGAGATTTTCTTATTTCAGAGTTGAAGATAGGATTGTAAATGGCTCATTTTACACCCTGGTTGTCAGTACTATTAATAATCATTCGCTCGCTGGGCTCACACATGAATATATACTTGTACTGACTGACATCAGCGACAGAAATGGAAAGTGAACCACTACCTTCAGAACGGAAGAGGAAAACATTGGGGATGAGAGTGGAGTCTGTTTTTCTTTCCTCAAGCCTCGGATAAAATCACTAGTGTGGATGGAATCAAATTAATGCACAGAATATAATATTAAAAATGAAACTGGTGATGATTGATGTTAGAAAAATAAAAGTTTCTGAATAAAACTTTCCTTACAGCTAGCTAAGTACTGTGACAATCTATTAAAGAAGTCTGCAAAAGGAATGACTGAAAATGAAGTTGAGGACAAACTGACCAGCTTCATCACAGTTTTCAAGTACATTGATGATAAGGATGTCTTTCAGAAGGTAAATAGTAGTTCTGTTTGCTTATGGCAAAATCAGGCAACATTTTGCATCCATCCAGCTTGAACTTGTTTGTGTATAGAGAAGTTAATATATGTGAATAATTAAAAATCCGTAGTTCATGGTGGAGTCACATGATCAATATCTTTCCTAAGCACTTTCATCAAATTCCTCCCTTAAAGTTTCTCAAATGTGTGTTCAGATGTATCTCTTTGAATCAAAGTTTTCAATTTACCTTTTCTCCAACTTCAGTTCTATGCCAGAATGTTGGCGAAGCGATTGATACATGGTCTTTCGATGTCTATGGATTCTGAAGAAGCTATGATCAATAAGCTCAAGGTTTGTAACATATCTTTAAAAATAAATTGAAGTATGTCTCATAAAACCTAGTAGAGGTACTTTGTGGGCTGTTCCAACTCTTTGTAGTTCACTTCTTTTCAAATCTGGTTCTGAGAGCACAAAAGGCTTAGTATTCGGTGACTAACCTAAAACAAATGATGGTTTTGTTTTTTAAACAGAGTTTAACTTGACAGAATGTTGTATTAAGAAAAAATCTTTTAGGGCCGAGAATAACGTTGATCATTATGCTATTTTCTACAAGAGATTATACCATAAATATTGACAGAGTATTGTTGTCCCATCATTTAATTTAGTTTTGGAGAGAAATAGTTCAGTGCAATAAAGTCTTGAATGGTTGTTTTATTTCAAACTAAAATCAAGGTGACTTTATGGGCAGACTTTTCTTTTCAGATGGCAGTGTTACCCCACTCTGCCACCTGAAGACTTGGCAATCATAGCAGCCCCAACTGGCTGGAGACAGGGATTCTCCCCCTCACTTGACTGTTAGTTCTGTATTCCCAGCAGCAGTGGGCAGGACTGGCATTACAAGCAGTCCCCAGATTGTAAAACCTGCAGCCCAGCACTAGGTAGGCCTGGGTGGGTCTCATGGTAGAAATGAGAGGTGAGGCCAGTGAGGGGTTAGGGTTTTGATGGAACAAACTGGGATGGAGGGAGGACCCACAGGTGTCAGAACTTCAAAGAGTTGAGGCTCCTGATGTTGAGTGAGCACTCTCCCCTCCACCACATGTCAAGTCACCCCCTTTTTCTGAACTTCTGTCGCTGGCCTCAAAGTTTTAATGCCTCAGTTAAGGGCCTTGCCTGAAAATCTGCTGATAGAGGATTGGATAATATACCTTTATTATCAGTCTTTTAGAAGTATTATTTTGATTGTAATAACACATTGTTTTGAGGAAATAACGCTGCTTTTACTCTTTCTATGCAGCAAGCCTGTGGTTATGAATTCACGAGCAAGCTTCACAGGATGTACACTGATATGAATGTCAGTGCTGACTTAAACAACAAATTTACAGCCACTTTTTTAAGGCAACAGGACACTGTAATAGATCTTGGAATCAGTTTTCAGATCTACGTACTTCAGGTTGGTTGGATCACAGGTTAAGTCTAACCAAGCACACTCACTTCTCACTTTATCCTTTTCTGCTGATGTCTTTTTTAATGGAGAAAACATGAAATACACATAAAATAAACTAGGTGGACTTGTAACTTCAGAGTGGTCTGGACAAGTTGAGTGTGTGGGCAAACATCTGGCAGGTGCAGTATAAGGTGGATACATGTGAAGTTATACACTTTGGTGTGAAGGAACAGAAAGGCAGAGTATAATTTAAATGCTGAAACAAACAAAAATTGCTGGAAAAGCTCAGCAGATCTGGCAGCATCTGCGAAGAGAAATCAGAGTTAACATTTCAGGTCCAGTGATCCTTCCTCAGAACTTTTAGTTTTTATTATTTAAGTGCTGCTATTTTGGGAAATGTAGATGTATAAAGGGATCTGGGTATGTTCTTGTATACCAATAAAGAGGCAGTTGCAGCAAGCAGTTAAAAAGGCAAATGGAATGCTGGCCTTCATTGCAAGAGGATTTGAGTTCAGGAGTAGAGATGTCTAACTAAGTTATACAGGGCTTTATTGAGACTACACTTGGAGTATTGAATGCAGTTTTGGTCTCCCTACCTAAGGAAGGATATACACGTCATAAAGGAAGTGCGGCAAATTTCACGAGGCTAATGCTGGGGGTGGCATATGAGGAGAGATTGCTTTGACTGGGCATTCATTGACTGGAATTTTTTAAAGAAAGTTAAAAGATGAGAGGATTGAAACGTACAAAATTCTAACTGGGCTAAACAGACTGGATGCAAGGAGGATCTTTCCGCTGGTTAGGGAGTCTACAGTGATGGGCCACAGTCTCAGGATACAGAGTAGGCCATTTGAGATAAGAAGAGGAAACATTTCTTCACTCGAAGATTGGTCATGTGTGGAATTTGATACCACAGACATTGTGTAGGCCAGGCCACTGAGTATATTCTAGAAAGAGACTGGTACTTTTTGATAGTGAAAGCATCAAGAGGTATGGAGAGAAAGTAGGAATATGGCGTTGAGGTCGAGGATTAGCCACGATCGTATTGAGTGGCCTACTCCTGCTCCTTGTTTCTATATATTTTTGGAGCATGTTTCAAGAAATTTTCACTGTGAGGGATCTAAAATCTTTGTAAGGACAAATGTGTAGTAACCAGGCATTACTACAGTTGTAATGTGAAGGTGAGAATTTTTGTGTCATGGCATATAGGGCAGCATGGTAGCCTTGGTGGTTGGCACTGCTGACTCTCAGCGCCAGGAACCCGGGTTCAATTTCAGCCTCGGGCCACTGTCTGTGTGAAGTTTACACATTCTCCCTGTGTCTGTGTGGGTTTCCTTTGGGTGCTCCGGTTTCTTCCCACAGTCACAAAAGATGTGCAGGTGGATTGGCCATGCTAAATTATCCATAGAGTCCAGGGATTTGTAGGCTAGGTGGATTAGCCATGGGAGGTGCAGGGTTGCAGGGATAGGGTAGGGGGGGTGGATCTGGGTGGGATCCTCTTCAGAGAGTTGGTGTGGACTTGTTGGGCCGAGTCTATGATCCATTCTATGATCTTTTGAAAGCATTCTGAAAGGTCTGTTCTGTTAAGTACATGATTAATTGCAAGAGCTAATCTGCTGAGTTGGTCCAAGTTTCTTTGCTTGTAAAGTGCCAGAATCACTATTATTAGTTTGAATTGATTGTGTCAGTACAAATGAGATGTTGAAGTTTTGTGGTCTGCACAGTTTTGTTGCACTTGAATGTATTCAGTTGGAGCTGACAAGTTGTTGATTTAATTCAAATGGATAACTTGCAGCTTTTTCCAAATTTGTTCCAACACTTGCAATAATACCCTCAACTTTTTTTAACCTGTCCCATCATTGGTATGTTAATGCACGTGAATCCATGTCTGATGAAGCAGGACTTCTGTTGGACATGTATCACGAGGCATCAAATCCTGTTTGTCCAACTCATGGTATAGAAAGCTGCACACTCTGAATAAATTTGGCCAATGAATAAAATTGTTTCTTGGTTGGGGAGATGTATAGTCATCAGTTAGCAGACAAATCATTTTGTGAAAAATGAACAAAAGCAGAAATATTATCACTTTTTCTGAAGGGCCAAAGAATGAGGACTAATAGACAGAAGAAATTCTTGCATTGTTAATGTGTTTATGACTATATGAGAGAAGTTCCGAATTGTCCTTAGTGCTTTGCTTTAAAAAATAAATGTTCTTCGGATAGGTATACTGCTCCTGAAAATCAATTGTTTAACTTACCTCATACTTGTCTATGTGGTTGTATGAATGTGCGACTGTATGATATGTTTTGAAATAAGGACAATGAGGACTGGCACCATAAAGTTGGATAAAAACGTTATTTGAAAATTTCAGTACTGTATTAGGGGCTACGATGTGATGGGAGGTTTGGTGACTTATGATTAGGATAGCTTTCTTCATGCCTTTATACAAGAAGAACTCAATGTCTCCTCTTCAAAAAAAATTTGACCTGTAATACAAGGTGATATTAAGTCACCCGTTTTAAGTAATTTTTTATTTTAAAAATATAGAATATTCTGAAAATTAATCTAAAATGTAACATCTTCTTGCTGTTTTTGATGGTGAAACCTTATGCTTTTACTTATTTTAGGCTGGTGCATGGCCACTGACTCAAGCACCCTCATCTACATTTGCCATTCCTCAAGAATTGGAAAAGAGCGTACAGATGGTAGGTTAGTAGGTGGCGCATACTTTGAAATTTAAGGATGGAATTAAATTGACACATTTAAAATGCCATTGAATCTCCTGTGCAATTTAAAGTCTGTAATCATTTTAAAGTCTATAATCATTTTAAAGTATGAAATAATTTGAAGTTTGCTAAGCTGACATTAAAGCTGCTACTAAGTAAGTCACAGGTGAGGAGAGTGCTGTGAAAATAAACTTGGTGAGTTTTTGCAGTACATCTTGAACATGACATGACAGTTCTTGCATGTCATGGTGGATGGAGTACATATTGAGGCAATGCCAGTGTCGCTAGCTGAACAGTCAGTGTTGATTTGCTTAATTTTGCTGAATTTAATAGAGGAGGAAGACAGAAAACAGGAACTACAGGCCAGTTAGCCAAATATCTGTCATAGGGAAAATGCTGGAATTATTAAAGAGGTTATGTCACAGCAGTTAGAAAATCTTGATATAATCAGGCAAAGTGAACATGATTTTGTGAAAGGAAGATTGTTTTTGACTAATTTGTCACTATTCTCTGAGGAAGTAAAATGCAAAATGTCAAAAAGAAAAATCAGACATTAGTGGAGCAAGTTTTTGACTTGTATGCTTTCAATGTAGAATTTGATTTCAAAACAGTAGAGGTAAGCATTCCTTCCTTACTCTAAAATATATTTCTTTTAAGGTTTTTTAAAATTGAAATTAATAGTCAGCTTCAAGTCTCCATCAGCATGTGTACAGTTTTCTAAAAATGTAATCAAAGCAAAGTTTTAGAATATTGTCAGATGTAATCATATTTCCTTTTGCAGTTTGAGCTGTTTTACAACCAGCACTTCAGTGGTAGAAAACTTACTTGGCTGCACTATCTATGTACAGGTAAGGTTACACATAAAAATACATCAGACTCATCATAAACATCTCTCTCCATGGACCCTGCCAGATCTGCTGAGTTTCTCTAGCACTTTGTGTCCTTGTTTGTTAATAAACTTCCCTCTGTTCTCCAGGACTTCTGTTTTGCAGTTTATAGACATGTCCTTTTCAGTTCTAATAAATTTGCATAAATCAGAACTGAAGCAAAACTTGCATGTTTGTGTCCCTTAGCTATTTGTGTACAAGCTTTCTATCAGTTACAGTAGGGCATTTGATTCACTGGCATGTCAAGAATTAAAGCGGTAAATGGGAGTTTTGGGAAGGCTATATTTCCCACGAAACTGGAAGGCTGCAATTTAATCTTCAATTTTTTTCCAGTATATTTATTTTTTCTTTATTAATGGCAGACATATTCAGTGGTGAATCTTGTCTTTGTACTCATTGTGTTTTATAATTAAAACGTAAAAACAAAATGCTGCAGAGGCTGGAAATCTGAAAGGAAGATAGAAGTAAATAATTGTTGTTACTGTAGTAAGCAGAAACATCTCAAAATACCCAGCAGTTACGGCATCATCTGTGGAGAGAGAAACAGAATATAGATGAAACAGAGACAACGCAGCGTGGAGCTGGAGGAACACTGCAGGCCAGGCAGCATCAGAGGAGCAGGAATGTTGACATTTCAGGTCAGGGCCCTTCTTCAGAAATGGGGAGGGGGAAGGGAGCTCAGAAATAAACAGAGGGGTGGGGCTGGGGAAGGTAGGTAGAATGGTGATAGGTGAGTGCAGGTATGGAGTGGTGGGGATTGGTCAATGGGATGGGTGGGGCGGATAGGTGGGAGAGAAGATGGATAGGTTGTGTCAGGTCAAGGAGGCGGGGATGAGAGGGACGGTTGGACATGGCATGAGGCTGGGGGGTGGGGAGATGTTAAAACTGGTGAATTCTATGTTTAGGCCATTGGGTTGTAGGCTCCCAAGGCGGAATATGAGGTGTTGCTCCTTCAGTTTGTGGGTGGTGTCATTGTGACATTGGAGGAGCCCAGGATGCACATGTCACTGAAGGAGTGGGAGGGGGAGTTAAAATGTTTGGCAACTGGAAGGTGGTGTTGATTGGAGTGTACAGAGTACAGATGCTCCGCGAATCAGTCACTGAGTCTACGCTTGGTCTCACCGATGTAGAAGAGGCCACATTGGGAGCACCAGATACAGTAGACCAAGTTAACGGATGTGCATGTGAACCCTTGTCTGATATGAAAGGTTTGTTTTGGGCCTTCAATGGAGGTGAGGGGGAGTTATAGGGGCAGGTGTAGCACTTCTTGCAGTTGCAGGGAAAGGTGCCAGGTGTGGTGAGGCTTAGTGAGGAGTGAGGAGTGGAGTCGTGGAGAGAGCAGTCCCAACAGAAGGCAGATAGGGGTGGGGAGGGAAATATCTCTTTGGTGGTGGGGTCAGATTGCAGGTGGCGGAAATGACGGAGAATGATACATTGGATGCGGAGGTTGGTGGGGTGATATGCGAGGGATTTGTTGCGGGGGAGGGGGTGTGAGGGCAGAAGTATGGGAAATACGAGAGATACAGTTGAGGGCATTTTCAATCACCAGAGGGGGGAAGTTACGGTCCTTGAAATAGGAGGACATCTGGGATGTACGAGAGTGGAACACCCCATCTTGGGAGCAGATGCTGTAGAAGCGGAGGAATTGAGAGTAAGAGATCGCATTCTTGCAGAAGGGTGGGTGAGAAGAAGTGTAGTCCAGGTAGCTGTGGAAGTCAGTGGGCATGAAATAGATGTCAGTTTCGAGGCGGTCACCAGGGATGGAGACGTAGAGGTCCAGAAAGGAGAGGGAGGTATCAGAGATAGTTGAGGTGAATTTGAGGTTGGGGTGAAAGGTGTTAGTGAAGTTGATGAACTGTTCATCGTGGGAGCACGAAGCAGCGCTGATGCAGTCATCAGATGTAGCGGAAGAAAAGGTTGGGGATAGTGCCAGTGTAACAGCAGAAAAGGGACTGTACCATGTATCCTACGAAGAGGCAGGCATAGCTGGGGCCCATGTGGTTTTGAGGTGTTGCCCCTCCAGTTTGCAGGGATGAAACGGTCTCATTGAAAGGTCATCAACCTGAAATGTTGACTCGGTTTCTCTCCAGAAATGCTTCCTGGCATAAAAACTAAAAGAACTGCGGATGCTGTAAATCAAGAACAAAAACAAAGTTGTTGGACACACTCAGCAGGTTTGGCAGCATCTGTGAAGAAAAAAAATCAGTTAACGTTTCGAATCCGGTGATCCTTCCTCAGAACTCCGGACCCACACCGTTAACTCTGTTTTTCTTCACAGATGCTGCCAGACCTGCTGAGCTTTTCCAGCAACTTATGCTTCCTGACATGCTGGTTATTTTCAACATTTTATGTTCTTATTGTTAAATGCCCAAAGTTGAAAAATTCCTGGCCATTGTCTTAACTGTGCACGAGAATGTGAGATTTCAACAAAATAATTTTCAGTTTAGGTCACCCAGATTCCCACCATATCCTTCAATATGTTCCATAAATAAAGGTGTAATGGATGTTTGTAATGCTATAAACAATATCTTTTTTCTGTTCTTGGTTTTCCAATAATAATTAGTCTACAAGTCTGAGGAAGTCTCTATGAGACTGTATGAAGAACTGGCCCAATCCCCCAAGTAGACAGTTCTGTTCAACATGGCCACAGTGGGAAATAATTAAACTTGGATTGGCGACTAAACATGTAACTAGAGAAAAGAGGGCCTCAAGGACAATTTTATTGGGATGTTGGGCTGTAGATAAAATTGGCAAATGATCGATTTTCATAATCTCTGTTCAACAAGTGGACAAATCTCCAGTCTCAGAGGAATGGTGAATTGACACTTTTTTAAACTGTTTTGCACAAACTGGTGAAAATCAGGTACAGACCTTATCTCGGGAATGCCTGGAACGGTCTTCAGTGTTGTATTGTGGAGACATGAACTCAGTCATTCTAGGGACAGTGTTAAATGTGGAGGTAGGGGAACCAGTCATTTCCATGGATGGATCAGATAGGTAGGTCAATTGCCCTTCCTCATCTGGACTCATATTTGCAGTTTTTAAAGATGGTGAATGTATGGAATTGCCTATCCATCGATGTATTGGGTTGTTACATTTGGCTTATTCAAAAAGAAATTGGACATACTTGGCAGAAAGAACTATATATCTGATTTCCTCTTTGCTGTTCAGTTTGATTACAGTGAAAGCTTCACAGCTTTGTTTTAATTTGACTAATCAGAAGGCTTTAAAATGTATTTTAAGACAACTGATTCTCAGGTTATGAAAACTTTGGAATTAATTTTACATTTCTTTGTTTTCTCTTCTGTGTTTTTTACTTTTGTCGGGAAAAAGGTGAAGTAAAAATGAACTACTTATCCAAGCCTTATGTAGCGATGGTTACCACATACCAAATGGCTGTGCTGCTGGCATTTAACAACAGTGAAATAGTCACTTACAAAGAGCTACAAGACAGCACACAGATGAATGAAAAAGAACTTACCAAAACCATTAAATCCTTACTTGATGTAAAAATGATCAACCATGATTCAAACAAGGCAAGTATGTTGATGAAATGGTGATAACATTTAAATTTGATATCGTTTATTACCCTTTCCTGTTTAAATACTGATTTGGCAGAATTAATGTATAACTAATTCTTTTGATGGGTTGAAGTGCTGGAAATACTTAGCAGTCTGTGCAGCATTGAAGTCTGTATGCATTAACCAAATCTAACCTTGTGAGTGAGTAAGATATTTAATTTTTTGGCATTGTTCTTCGCTTTCTAGATCAATTTAGAGAAAGGCTCAGATTAGTAGAAGTAAACGCGTTATTAATAAAATTGAAAAGAATATTTCAGCTTCTTGTGATTATTAAATGCGCAGATGAGGAAGGTCTTTAATTTTATCTAGGAGCTGTATGGAGTTGGCTGATTCTTATGAGGTTATGTTAGCAAAACTTCATGTATCGTCTGTTCCTGTGGGCTAGGAAGCCTGGCAGGGCAATGTATCAAGGGTTTCCGTTCTTAATCATTCCTTGACCCCTGCTGAAAAATGCATGTTTGTGGTTGTGATACCTTCATGGCAAATTAGCATGTTAAGGTTTGTGATCAAGGCTCACTTAGAAAAGCAGTGCTTGTAGGAGGAGACTATTAGCACAGTTGGTAGCCTACGTCAGAGGAAGAAGGGAAATCAGCATTTAAAAATTTTGAAAGAAGAGTTCAGAAAACTTAGATGAGCCACCAGGGCAACAGACTTTTTCACAGGAACTCAGGAAAAATGGAATGCCAGAGTATTATCTAAATGATGATAATTTGGAAAATGTTTATGAAGGAACCTGGGTGTTCTTGTACACCGTCACTGAAAGCAAGCCTGTAGGTGCAGCAAACAGTTAGAAAGCAAGCTGTACATTGGCCTTCATTGCAAAATGGTTTGAATATAAGAGCAAAGAAGCTATACAGGGCTTTGATGAAACCACAACTGGGAGTATTCAGCACAGTTTTAGTGTCCTGTTGATAACTACACGTGAGGTGCCAGAAGATTGGAGGTTGGCTAATGTGGCACTGCTGTTTAAGAAAGGTGGTAAGGAAAAGCTAGGAAACTATAGACAAGTGAGCCTGACATCAGTACTGGGCAAGTTGTTAGCGCTAATCCTGAGGGACAGGAGTTTACATGTATTTGAAAAGGCAAAAATTGATTGGGAATTGTCAACATGGCTTTGTGCGTGAAACCGTGTCTCACTAACTTGAGTTTTTTGAAGAAGTAATGAAGACGATTGATGAAGGCAGAGCGGTGGACGTAATCTATATGATCTTCAGTAAGGCGTTTGACATGGTTCCGCATGGTAGACTAGTTAACAAGGTTAGATTACGTGACCTTGATCCGGTGGGCCGAGAAGTGGCAGATTGAGTTCAATTTAGATAGATGTGAGGTTTTGGTAAGGCAAATCAGGCAGGACTTATACACTTAATGGGAACATCCTGGGGAGTGTTGTTGAACAAAGAGACCTTGGAGCGCAGGTTCAAAGTTCCTTGAAGGTAGAGTGGCAGGTTAGTAGGATAGTGAAGAAGCCGTTTGGTATGCTTGCCTTTATTGGTCAGTGCATTGAGCATAGGAGTTGGGAGGTCATGTTGCAGCTGTACAGGACATTGGTTAGGTCACTTTTGGAATATTGTGTTCAATTCTGGTCTCCCTGTGAAACTTGAGAGGGTTCAGAAAAGATTTACAAGGATGTTGCCAGGGTTGGAAGGTTTGAGCTATAGGGAGAGGCTGAATGGACTGGGGCTGTTTTCCCTGGAGCATCGGAGACTGAGGGGTGATCTTATGGAGGTTTATAAAATCATGAGGGGCATGATAAGGCTATATAGACAAGGTCTTTTTCCCAGGATGGAGGTATCCAAAACTGGAGGGCATAGGTTTAAGGTGAGAGGGGAAAGATTTAGAGGGGACCTAAGGAGCAACTTTTTCACGCAGAGGGTGGTGCGTGTATGTAATAAGCTGCCAGAGGAAGATCTGGAGGCGGGGCAATTACAACATTTAAAAGACATCTGGATAGTTATGCGAAGAAGAAGGGTTTAGAGGGATATGGGCCAAATGCTGGCAAATAGGACTGGATTTATTTAGGATATTTGGTTGGCATGGACGAGTTGGACCAGAGGGTTCATTTCCGTGCTGTACTGCTCAATGGCTCTCTATGACTTTCTACTGCATCCGTTGCTCCCGATGTGGTCTCCTCTACATCACTGAGACCAAGCGCAGACTCGGTGACAGATTCGCGGAGCATCTGTACTCTGTACACTCAATCAACGCCACCTTCCTGTTGCCAGCCATTTCAACTCCCCTTCCTACTCCCTCAGTGACATGTCCATCCTGGGCCGCCTCCTATGTCACAATGAGGCCACTCAAAAATTGGAGGACCACCACCTTATATTCTGCCTTGGGATCTTACAGCCCAATGGCCTCAACATAGAATTCACTGGCTTCAAAATCTCCCCACCCCCAGCCTCAACCCATTTCCAGCTTTCGCCCTCATCCCTGCCTCCTTGACCCGACACAACCTGTCCACCTTCCTTCTCACCTATCCACCCCACCCTTTCCACTGACCAATTTGCACAACCCCCTACCTGCATCCACCTATCACCACCCCACCTGTCTTTGCCCAGCCCCACCCCCACCTCCCTCTATTTATTTCTGAGCTCCCTTCCCCCTCCTCAGTCCTGATGAAGGGTCCCGTCCCAAAACATCGACTTTGCTGTTCCTCTGATGCTGAGTTCCTTCAGCTCCACACTGTATTGACTAAGAAAATACATGCTTGCCATAGAGGTCATGCAGTGAAGATTCAGTAGCCTAATTCCTGGTTTGGAAGGTTTCTCGTATAAGGAGGGATTGGGTTGCCTGTGCCAGTATTCACCGAGTTTAGAAAAATGAGATGGGATTTCAATTAAATGTATTCAATTCTGACAGAGCTTGACGGACTGGATGCAAGAATGATGTTTCTCCTGGCTTGGAGAATCCAGAGCAAGTCGTCATGGTCTCAGAATTCAGAGTAGGCCATTTTGGACAGAGTTGAGGAGAAACAGTGAAGAAACCTGTGGAATTCTCTTCCACAAAGGAGTCTGGAGATCAAGTCTCTGATCTGGAAACTGAAGTTGTTGAGGGTTATGGGGAAAGAACGGGAGTGTGACATTGAGGTAGACGATCAATCACAATCATGCTGAATGACTGAGTGTGCTTAATGGGCAGGAGTAGGCCATTTGGCCCCACTATGTTTCTATGTGTCTCTGCAAGAACACAGAAGGGGATTTTTTGTTAATCCTCCTAACTATTGCAAATAATGATTAAAGAAAACTTTGCCCTCAGGTTGCCTGTTGCTTTATAAAGTCAGAATTGTGCTTATGTTTTCCTTACTGTAGGAAGATGTCGACTTGGATTCAGTTTTCTCTTTAAATATGGGTTTCAGCAGTAAAAGAACAAAATTTAAAATTACAACTTCCATGCAAAAAGATACACCACAGGTAAGAGGTTTATTTTCTTGGATGATGATCTTTGTAAAACAAGTTATTGTCTGCTTTAAATGAGTTATCAAAAAATAAAGCATTACATCGTCACTTCAATTCTATTTAATCTTAAATTTTATTTCATAGAGTAGCGTAACTCCATACGCCATTCAGTCTCTCATTCCTGTGCTAAATTGCTCAAGTTAACTCTGTAGTAAAATTATTTTCTTCCAAGTATATATTTCATTCCTTTTTCAAAGTTACTATGACCTGCTTCCACAATCCTTCCAGGATTTCAACCCAGATCAGAACTGTGTAAAATTAAAGTGTTGCTTTGGTTCCTTTGCCAAACTTAAACCTTAAATATGCACCCTCTGGTTATTGAGCCCCCTGCCCCTGGAAACAGTTTTGCCTTATTTACTCACTCAAAACTATAGGAGTTATGAGGGGAAAAATGAGAAGGTGCCCAAAATTGAATAATAACTGAGGCCTTGCTAGTAATTTGAGTTTGAGCACAATTTATTTGTTTTAATATTCTTTGTCTCTTTAATAAAGTTAACAATTTCATATATTTTAGTTCAGAAAGCTTCTCAATTTATCCTACCACCTTCAAAGATTTTGAATGTACACCTCTGTTCCTCAACCACCTTTAAAATCTAACCATTTAGTTCTTAGTACCTTTCCACAATCTTTCTACCAAAGTCACAGAGTAAATCAGCATACGCAAGACTGTACAGCTCATCAAGTCTGCCAGCCTGTCCGCATGAATCCTGTTTTCCAAAATTTAGCCCGTAGCCTGGAATGATATTTCAAGTGCTCACCCATGTACTTTTTAAAGGTTGAGATTTCCTGCCCCTCCCGTCCTCCCATTATAGAATCATAGAATCCCTAGTGTGGAATAGGCCATCCAGCCCATCGAGTCCACACTGACCCTCCAAGAGCATCCCATCCAGACCTGCCTCCCTACTCTATCCCTGTAATGCTGCATTTCCCATGGCTAATCCATCTAGCCTGCTCATCTTTGGACAGTGTGAGGAAACTGGAGCACTCGGAGGAAACCCAGGCAGACACGGGGAGAATGTGCAAACTCCACACTGACAGTTGCAGCAGTGCTAACCACTGAGCCCCCATGCTACATGATGCATGCCAACCAACGCATTCCAGATTCCCAATACCCTCTGGGTGAAAAAGATTTTCCTCAAATCCCCCATAAACATCCTGCCCTTCACCTTAAAATTATGCCCCCTTGTTATTGATTTGATTTCATAGAATCATAGAATCCCTACAGTGTAGAAACAGGCCCTTCGGCCCAACAAGTCCACACCGACCCTTTGAAGACCTTCCCACCCATACCCATGCCCCTACCCCTGTAACCCATCTAATCTACACATCCCTGAACACTATGGACAATTTAGCATGGCCAATCCACCTAACCTGCACATCTTTGGATTGTGGGAGGAAACTGGAGCGCCAGTGGAAACCCACGCAGATATGGAGAGAATGTGCAAGCAGTACACAGACAGTCATCCGAGGCGAGAATCGAAGCCAGGTCACTGGTGCTGTGAGGCAGCAGTGCTAAACACTGAGCCACCATGCACCCCCCACACCACCACCACCACCACCCCACCTCCACCACCTCCCCCCACCACCACCACCCCACCTCCACCACCTCCCCCCACCACCACCTCCCCCGACCACCACCCCCACCCCCACCCCAACCCCACATGAACCGAGATACAGTGAAAAGTATTGTTTTGCATACTAACCAGACAAACTATAGCCTTACAAAAGTACATCAGGGTAATAGAACAGAATGCAGAACATAGTGTTACAGCTACAGAGAAAGTACAGATTTCTTTAATTTATGCCCATTCATAAGTCTGATAACTGCAGGGAAAAAGCTGTTCTTGAATCTATTGGCACGTTTGTACCAAACATTTGTATCTTCAGCCCAATGGTAGAGGGTGGAAGAGAGTATACCTGGGATGGGAAGGGTGTTTGTTTACATTGGCTGCTTTCCCGAGGCAGTGGATGGTGTAGACGGAGTCAATGGGTGGAAGGCTGGTTTTCAACATGGACTGGGCTGTGTTCACAACTCTGTAATTTCTTGTGGTCTTGGGTGTATCAGTTGCCATGCCAAATGGATGGGATAGGATGCTTTCTATGATGCATTTGTGAAAAGTGTAAGACTCAGTGTAGGCATGCCAAATTTCCTTAGCATTCTGAGGAAGTTGAGGTGTTTTCTTGACTGCAGTGTCAACGTGGATGGACCAGGACAGATTGTTCGTGATATTTATTCCTAGGAACCTGAAGCTCTTGACCACTTCCACCTCAGCACCAATGATACAGATGGGCATGACTGTGGTATTGACTGTTCAACAAGGGGGATCATTCACCAAAGGGATGCATTCCATCCACACTCTCCATTCCTCATAATATTATCTTCATCTTAATGACGGAGTGGTCATGGCCTAATAGTATTGTCGCTGGACTATTAATCCAGAGGCCCAGGCAATGTTCTGGGCATCTGGGTTCAAATCCAGCCATGATAGATGGTGAAATTTTAATTTAGTTTTAAAACTCTGGAATTAAGAGTCAAATGATGATCGTGACACCGTTGTCAAATGGTGAAAAAACCTATCTGGATCACAATGTAGGGCAGGACAACTGTTACCTTTACCTGGTTTTGCTTACAAGTGACTCCAGACTCACAGCAAGGATGCTGGACTAGTCAGCGATGCCCATATCCTGTGAATGAATAATGAAAAACCTCTATCAGGCCCTCCCCCTCAGTCTTCTCTGCTCTACAGAAAACAGCTCAGACTTATCCAGCCTCCTCTTAACTGAAATGCTCCAACCGAGGCAACATCCTGGTGAATCTCCTCTACACCTCTCCAGTGCAATCACATCCGTCCTGTGGTGTGGCGACAAGAAGTGTACACCGTACTCCAGCTGTAGCCTAACCAAAGTTTTGTATAGCTCCAACATAACCTCCCTGCTCTTATAAGCTATGCTACAACTGATAAAGGCAAGTGTCCCATCTGTCTTTTGTAGCCACCCTATTGATTTGTTACCTTCAGAAATCTGTGGACAAGCACCCCAAGATCCCTCTGCTCCTCCTAGTGTCCTGCTATTCATTGAATACTCCCTTGTCTCATTACTTCTTACAAAGTGAATTTTTTCTCAGCTTTTAGAGTTAAATTCCATTTGACCACTCATCATATCTTCCTGTAACCTAACAGTTACTTCCTCACTATTAACCACCTGGCCAATCATTATGTCATCCTCAAACTAACTTATCACACTGTACCCTGAACATTTTCTTCTATATCATTAGTATATATTTATATATATCATAAGCAAGAAGGGAACCTGCACTGTTCCGTGTTGTATGCCACGGCAGACTGGCTTCCAGTCACACATACGGCTGTCTCCCAGCTCCTCCTGTCTCCTATCACTAAGCCGATTTTGCCCAACAAATCTAGATACATGTGCTTTTATCTTGTTTATTAGTTTCCCATGTGGAACCTTGTCAAATGCTTCCATATAAACTACATCAACTGTACTACCCTCATCTACACACCTAATCATCTCAAAAAAATCAATCAAGTTTGTTAGGCATAACCTCCCTTTGACAAAGCCATGCTGACTATCCTTGATCAAACCTTGCATCTCCAAGAGAATATTAATTCCGTTCTTCAGAACTTTCTTCAGTAGTTTCCCTACCACTGATGTGAGACTAACTGGTCTGTTAGTCCCTGGTTTATATCTACCACCTTTTTTAAAAGGTGGATCCACATTAGCTGTCCTCCAGTCCTCTGGCATTGCCCCTGTGACCAGAAAGGAATAAAAATATGGGTCGGAGACCCTGTAGTTTGCTCATTGCCTCCCACAGCAGCCTGGGATACAACTCATCCAGACTTGGGGACTTATCCACTTCTAAGCCTGCCAAAGCCTTCTCACTCCCTATGTCAATCTGCTCAAGAACCTCTCCCCAAATTCTGTACCCACATCCTCCTCCTCCCAAGTGAAATCAAAAGTGAAGTACTCGTTTAACGCCCTACCATGTCCTTTGCCTCCACACACAGATTGCCCTTTGCTCCCAAATGGACCCCGCTCTTTTGCTGATTATTCTCTTCCCCATAGTTTACTGATAGAATATCTTAGGATTCTCCCTAATTGTGCTCACCAGTGTTTTCTCATTCCTCTTTGGTCTCCTAGTTGCTTTCTTAAATTCCCTGTGCACTTCCTATGCTTCATAATCATCTCAGTTAATTTGTCTCCTTTGCACCTGCTAAATGCCTCTTCTTTTGCTCCTTGTCCTGTCCTGAACATTCCGAGACAGGCATGGTTCTCTGAGCTTGTTGCTCCTTTATGGCACCCTAAAGGGAACATGGGCCTGTATTCTTTCCATTTCATTTTTGTTCTTTAGAGTTCCCCAAAAGTAGCTGTTCCTAGTGTCCTTTGGCTAGGTTCTGCCTTCCCCCAATCTAAAACCCCTTTTGCAGACCATATCTTTCCTTTTCCATAACAAATTATATGGTGGTTGCAATCAATAAAATGTTCTCTCACTGCCACCCAGCCCCATCTACCTGGCTTTGGTCACAGAATTAGATGCAATATTGCACCCTATCCCCTGTGAGATCTAGGTTGGTATAAAAAAACCCACCTGAATACATTTCAAGAAATCTGCCCCCTCTTAAACCCTTTGCACGATGACTATCCCAATTAATGTTCAGGAAGTTGAACTCCCCAAATATAATTACCTATTAGTATTATTACTCACCTCATTGAATTGCCTACATATTTGCTGACCCACTGACAGTTTGAGGGCCTACAGTACGCTCCGAGCAGTGTGACTGCCCCCATTTTATTCCTAAACTCTATCCAGAAAGCCTCATTTGAAAACCCTTTCAAGATATCTTCCCTCCATATTGCAGTAATTGACTCTTCAATTAATAATGCAATGCCATCTCTTTTACACCCTCCCCTGAAGATTCTGTACCCTGACTGTTGAGTTTCCAGTCCTTACCATCCCTCAACCATGTCTCTGTGATGGCAACATATCACAATTCCACATGTCAATCCATGCCATTAAATCACCTGTCTTACTTATCATATTCCTAGCATCAAAGTGAAGGCTATTCAGTCTCACCTTGCTCCCTTGAATCATAAGATGGTTGAACTCTGTGTCCCAGTTCCTTTACTATACTATACTGTGTCCCAATTGTGATAATGGTCTGTTTCCCCGCCCCTGCTGAACTTGATTAAACTCTTCCCAACAGCATTAGCAAACCCAGCCACAAGATGTTGGTCCCATTCTGGTAAAGGTGCAAATTGTCCTGCTTGTACAAGTCCCACCTTCCCCAGAAACAGCCCCAGTGATCCAGGATTCTCAAACACTCCTGCACCAACTTATGAGCCACGCATTGACCTGCCCTATACCCCTATTTCTACATTCGCCAGCACATGGCACCTGGAGAAATCCAGAGATAACAACTTTACAGGTCCTGCTTTCATCAGAAACACACCTATTTCTTCCTTGAAGCTGCCGATTGATTCTGCCTCCACTGCACTTTGGAGCAGTGAGTTCCACGGATTCATAACCCTCTGAGAGAAGTAGTTTTGTTTTGAACCTACTTCCTCTCACTCTATATCTATGCCCTCTTGTTTGAGACTGTTCAACATCCACCTTATCAATCCCCTTTAGCTTTTTATGTACCTCAATCAGATTTCCCCCCCACCCCCCTGATTCTTCAGAACTCCAGTGAGTACGAGTAAAAGCTATTCAACCGCTCCTCGTACGACAGCCCTTTCATCCCTGGAATCAAACTGGTGAACTTCCTCTGAACTGCCTCCACTGACACCACATCCTTCCTCAAGTAAGGAGTCGAAAACTGGACACAATATTCTAAGTGTGGTCTTACCAACGTCTTATATAATTGTAACAACATTTCTTTACTTTATAATCCAGTCCTTTTGTAATAAATATCAGGTTTCTATTTGCCCCTTTTATTGCATTCTGCATCTGCATAACCACTTTTTGTGCATGAATCACTCAGACACCCAGATCCCTCTGCACTGACACACTTTGAATCTGCTTCCCATTTAAACAATAATTTGCCCTTCTATTTTCCAACCGTAGTGAATATCCTTGCACTTATCCACATTAAACTCCATCTGCCTGATTCTGACCCATTCTCCTGGACTATCAATATCCATCTGTAAACTGTTTACTTCCTCATCATAGCTTGCTTTCCCACCTATTTTGCTATGTTACACTCTGTCCCTGCTTGCAGAGCATTTATGTAGATTGTAAATGAATTGAACCCTGCAGCACCCTATTAGTTCACCATCCAGAGAAGGACCTATTTATCCTGACCCTCTGATTTCTGTCAGTCAGCCAATCCTCTATCCAAGCCAGTAGTCTATGCCTAACCCCCTGAGACCTAACCTTCTGGATCAGTCATTTATGCGGCACCATGTAAAATGCCTTCTGTAGGTCTAGGTATACCACATCCACTGGATCCCCATTATCCACCTTGCTGGTTACATTCTCAAAGAACTCCAGTAGTTTTCTAAGCATGACTTGTCCTTCATGAAACCATGCTGACACTGGTGAATTGAGCTTTGTTTTACTAAGTGTTCAGTTATCTCCTACTTCATGACTGACTTCAACAACTTCCCTACTACAGAGGTCAAACTCACTGGTCTGTAGTTTCCCACTTTTTGCCTGTCTCCGTTTTTGAATAAAGGTGTCACATTTGCCTGTTTCCAATCCACAATGTTTGTCAGATTCATGATTGGTGAGAGGGAGCATCTGAACTGGGCAGCTCCAGAAACATGTATAGGTTGCAAAAGCCCAGAAAGTAAACAGAGAAGGTTCCTGGCTTCCTTGCTTTTGCAGTGAAGTGGCATTCGGTATAAACGTAGTCTGCCATATCTGATTTAATTGGTGAGCATATTATTATGGATTCATTAATAGTTAATCACGAAACTCCCAAAACTTGCGATGAAAAATCCGAAAAGTATGAACCAACCTTAGAGACTGGGAACAAGCAATATTTGGCACTGAATAGTGATCGGAAGCAGAAAAATATATATTTATTCTTTAATTGTTATATACAGAGGTTAAAAAAACTGGTCAATTGAGCTAAAGTATAAGATAACTTGTTAGATCTCAGTTGGAGTGTTGTGTACAGTTCTGGGTGCCACATTATAGGTAGGAAGTGTATACGTTGGAGAGAGTGCAGAAGCGATTTACAAGAATAGTTCCAGGAATGAGGAACTTCAGTTATGAGGATAGATTAAAGAAGCTAGGACAGTTCTTCTTGAAAAGAAGAAGGCTAATAGGACGTCTGATAGAGGTTTTCAAAATCGAAGCAGATTGGATAGAGTAGAGAGGGAGAAAGCATTCCTGTTTCTAAAAGGAACCAAAAGAAGAGGGCATAGATTTAAAGTGATATGCAAAAAGCGCAAGGGTGAAATGAAGAAACATTCACTCTGTAATAGTTAGGACATGGAATGCACTGTCTGGAAGTGTAGTGGGGCAGGTTCAATTGAGGCATTCAAGAGAACTTTAGATGATTATTCAGATAAAAATAATGTGCATGGATATGAGGAAAAAGCAGGAGATCGGTACTAGCTAATGACGTTCATTTAAAGAGCCAGTGCAGGGATAATGGGTTGAATGGCCACCATCTTCGCTATAATAATTCTGTGATTCTGTTCACAAAATATAAAGTGATAATAAATTGCTTATAGTTGCTTTTCTGATTTTGATTTGATGGCTAGATTAAGAAATCCACTTTCTAAAATTAATCATTTATACCTGTTATGTGCATAACGAAAGTACTAAGGATAGCTTACCACGGAGATCTGTTGAAACAGTCATGTTAAGTTTCTAGTTCTTGCTTTATTGCCCTCAGGAGATGGAACAAACTAGAAGTGCAGTCGATGAGGACAGGAAAATGTATCTGCAGGCTGCTATAGTCCGCATCATGAAAGCACGTAAAGTGCTCCGACACAATGCACTTATTCAAGAGGTAAATGTTCTTTTTAGGTAACCAAAATGTTATCAAAAGCATAAAATTTGTTTAATGTATAAAGCAAATTGAAGATATTTGATCTCTAAGTTGAAATATGTTGTTGCTCGGGGCCACATAAACGGATAAGAACAGTGTCTTTCACTTCTGGGACCTATGTTTACATGTAGACGAGCTGAATGAGGTGGAACGAAAACAGAAGTCACTGGAAAAGCAAGGAACAGGTTGTGGGGAAGGGTCACCAGACCCAAAGTGTTAACTCTGATTTTTTCTTCACAGATGCTGCTAGATCTGCTGAGCTTTTCCAGCAACTTCTGTTTTTGTTCCTGATTTACAGCATCTGCACTTATTTTGGTTTTTATCTAATGGGGTGGAAGTCTTCTCTTTCTCTGCCATCTCTTTGTCAAATTAATTTAAACAGATCCATGTATGTTATAGAGTCACAGAGTCATACAGCACGGAAACAGACCCTTTGGTCCAACCAGTCCATGCCGAACATAATCCCAAACTTAACTAGTCCCACCTGGCTGCTCCTGGCTCATATGTCTCCAAACCTTTCCTATTCATGTACCTATCCAAATGTCTTTCAAACATCGTAATTGTACACACATCTACCACGTCGCCAGGAAGTTCATTCTACATGTGAACCATTCTCTGTGTAAAAAATTTGCCTCTTAGGTCTTTTATAAATCGCTCTTCTCACCTTAAAAATGTGCTCCCTATTCTTAAAATTTCCCATTTTAGGGAAAAGACAACCACCAACTCTATCGTACCTCTCATTATTTTATAAACTTATATCAGGTCATTTCTCAACCTCCTATGGTCAAGTGAAAAAAGTCCTAGCCCATCCAGCCTTTCATTATAACTGAAACCTTCCACACCCGGCAACATCCTGGTAAATCTCTTCTGAATTCTCTCCAGCTTGATAATGTCCTTTCTGTAACTCGGCGACTAGAACCGGACACAATAGTCCAGAAGAACCAGTAATGTTGTATAAGGTACCTGTACCAACGACAAATGTTCTCTGTTCAAGAGAATTATGCACCTGAACCCCTAGGTCCCTCTGTTCTACAAAACCAACCAAGGCCTTACCATTAATTATATAAGCCCTATCCCTGTTTGTTGGACCAAAATGCAATACCTCGCATTTATCCAGATTGAACTCCCATCTGCCATTTTTCAGCCCATTGATCTATTTGAACAAGACCCCTTTGAAATCTTAGAAAAAGTAGGTGCACAGCTTGGAAGTAGTTTATGCATTTGGAGTCAAAGCATATTGTGAGACTAAATAAAGTAACTAAATTTTTATCTAAACTGCCATAAATCCACCAAGCAGTGCTTTAATAACTGGCTGAAAAGGTAGGACAAGTGTTCTGTTCCAGGGTATTGACATTCTACACCTTGAATTAAGAAATTGACATGCTCACCCAAAAACATTTTCGACGGAAACACTGTAGTACTGCAGTACTCCTATCAGATAAGCACAGAGCAAGTCCGTGTCGTTTCTGATTAGCCGAGGTGGATAGATTCTGATGGATGATGATCATCAATGATGAACCTTGTGCCATCAGTTTGTGTTTTGAAGTAAAAAAAATATAGTATTCCTCGCAAGATAATCACCAGTTACTTGATCGTAGTTCCTGGTTCCCTCTGCATATCAGCTTTCCTGCTCCTCTGATGCTGCCTGGCCTGCTGTGTTCCTCCAGCTCCACACTGTGTTATCTCTGACTCTGCAGTTCTTGCTATCTCTACAAAATAACATCTTTGGTTATGAAGCACTTTGGGATGTCCTGAGATCGTGAAAGGCACAAGATAAAATGCAATGTTTTTCCTTCAGAAATTAATTTCTAGAGGGATGAATCTGAAATAAAGGTAAAAATGAAAAGATGCTAGAAATAGGCAGCTAGCCAGTAAGCATAAAAGGAGAAATGAAGCTCACCATTTTAATGCAAAAAATCTTTGTTGTATTCAGAAACTGATTATCTTATTGTTCATAGTAAGCATTTTCTTTTCAATTTACCATTCTGCTGTCTCTTCAGATGGATTATTTTTCATGATTATTAGTATTGAAGACTTCCTAACATTTGTTCTCTTCTCAACAGGTAATCAGCCAGTCGAGAGCAAGGTTCAACCCTAGTATCAGCATGATCAAGAAGTGCATTGAAGTCCTCATTGACAAACAATATATTGAGCGTAGCCAGACCTCAGCAGACGAATACAGTTATGTAGCATGAAACAAGCTGTTGGTGTTTGGCTTTGTCTGAGTATGGGTGCAAAGACCTGCTGTGTCACTGATGTATTCCTGTGAGATGAAGCAGAGATGTGCCTACACCAGGTTCTTCAGTCCATCACCTGGCAGCCCTTTCTCTGCTGTTTACAGTGCCACATTGCAAGTGTCAATGCCTATAGATATCCCAACTCGTCATCGCAACATTGCTGTAATGGGGGAGTGCTTTGGTGCCATGTTTATCTCACAGGTGCAGTTGATATCTTTTAAAATGTAATTTAAAACTAAACACTGTAACATGGCGATGAAATAATTGTGTTTACACTGTAAATTTTTCATCCAAGACTGCAGATAACAAATATGGCACGTGTTCATTCACAAAATAAAGCCTGTATACTACCTGAAGTATATATGTAGGTTTCAGTGAACTAGACCATTACATCAGTGTTCTCTGCAGATCGCCCAGATGAACGGATCTATGTATATCAAAAATGCAGTTTTCCTGAACTATCACTACAGGAACATCATGAGGAATGTCTATACCAGTTTGCACTTCCATTAAAAGGATTTTTTTCAGATTGATTTCTTTCAGTGTTTCTCGTGTGCATTGATGATTGTCATAAACCCTCCAAAGCCTTAATTATTCAGCCTGAATGCTGCAGGGTTTTTTTTTGGGCAGGCAACTGCCTTCATGACTGGTGAAGATGGTCATGTCTTTAATAATATTTTCATCGTCTTGGCCTGAATCAACTCTATGTCCAACAAAACACATCTATTAAATGCATTTTTAACAATTATATCGTGCAATTGATGGCGGAGAATCCAAGGCTCAAAGCAACCAGGGCAAAGAGGAGGTTGTCTATGCTGCTACCAGCCTAGATCAACTTTTCCCCCTCCCACTACCTTCCAATAGAGGGAGTGACTGGCCCAACCAGACATCACCCATTGGATATTACAATTGAGACTGAAGAACTCGTTGAACTGGGAAGCCATCATTATGGAATTTCACGCTCACTGAGCTGTTACATATAAAGGTCCACAAAAATTATCCTATTACAACAGTTCTGATCTACCATATTTAGCGACACCAAACTTCTAAAATAAAACCCATCTAGGTAAATATGTCTAATGAAATTATAGATATCCATTATTAACATCCGATAAAAGATGAATCTGCCACTTATTAAATCAGGAATTTTGCATGAAAATTTTTTTAACTGAACTTACTTGATCGAATGAGGTCAGATGACTAGTTTGTTAATTGACTCGTGTCCTTGAGGTCTTCCAGACTTCAACCCTGCATGGTATTGACAGTTTGAATGTTTTTAAAGAGAATTGGCTACCTATGATTACCAATAGTGCCCGCAATCTCTTTAAAAGCTTTTTACTAACTATTTGGTGTGTCCTTTGTATTACCAGGAGCCAAGTGCAGCTGGAATAGTGAGGAATAAAACTGTTTTATTACAGTTTGAGTGTGGCTGTTCTTGACCTCTGTAAAATCTTTTGTTGCAAATGCCGTTTTAAATTCTGAATATATCTGAACATTTTGTCTTTTCAAGCAAGTTTGTTAATTTGGGAAAGCTCATCCACATACAGCAGTCTCTTGCTGAATTGACTAACATCCACTATCTGCCTACCACCCCCAACCCAATCTTAAATCACTGGAGAACAAGTGAGCCCTCTACTTTGGAAAGTCAAGAGCATATTTTGCATGAGAATGTTGCAGCCTGACATGCCCAACAAAATATACCCTTGAGTGGCTAGAAGAGGCCACAATAACTTTGAAAATGTAACTTTGGTGCAGAATAGGCCGTGAGGAACAGGAGTATTCCTCTTGCTGTGGGCAAAAAGTCCTTGGACTGCCTTATCTGTGGTCCTACCTGTGCTTGCTAGCACTGATACTAGTTACTACCCTCATCATTGTTCTAATTTTATGTTGGGGTCCATTCCCTTGCTCCATCCTGGCATCATTTCTGCTAATTAATGGCTGGAGACTGTACTACAATTACTCAAATTAAACTGCAGCTTTATGCTGAGCTTCCCAAGGGAGGTTTTCCTCCCACACAACACCCTTTCCCAGTTAAAATTGACCCTATGATTTTTGTTTTAGTCCATGCCAGTTGCTTTGGATTTATTTTATTCTATGATGCTTTCTTGGCATCCTGAACATAGACTGAGGACTGTCTCAGGAATTAAATTGTTGTGTTTGTATAACCAAATGGTGTTTGCACATCTACATTTTTTGTAAAGAAATTATCATCTTTCTTGCTGTTATTTCAGATGGAATGTAATTCTCTTGATTGTAGGCTTCCATTTTCACAAGGTGCAGATTGAAGAAAATATAGTGATCTTTGTTGTTTCTATAAGGCCTGTTACTTCCACTTTATGGGATCAATCAAATATATAAAATAAGCAATTCATTGCTGGTTGAGAGAAAAACTATATTTCATTCAAGTTCTGATTTCTGCACGTTGGCACAAGAGAAAACTCATCAGTTGTACAAAAGTACTGAAGAATTTCTGTGATATAAAAGGTCTTTTGAAATAACTGGATATATTTGTTATGCCCAGTGGAGAGGGACTTGCTGCAGTTCTGTTGTAGTTTTAGTTTTAACAGTCTACAACAATCCAAAAAAACAACAGCCATATGTGTTGAAACAGTGGGTGAGATTTAACTTACCGATTGGGGGAAATCATTCAGAGAAGGCAAAACTTAATTGCTTACAACAGTGATTAGAATGTATTCGTTGACAGCTACAATTGATGCCATGTTAGCCGAGCAGTTTCAGTGAGTTTGTGTTTTGGAATCAATATGTTGAATAGTCTTTTTTTAAAAATTAGATGATTAGAATCTCTGTTCTTTTGTACCTCCCCAAAGCTATTTTCTTACATTAATGTTGTATAAGGTACCTGCACCAATGACCAATGTGCTCTGTTCAAGATTGTCAGCAATTTTAGGAAGCAGGACAACTCTCCCGTCTGAGGTGGATGTTTTTCTTTCTCTAGACCTCAATGTAGCTGTGTTTGGAAATGTGAGGATGTTGCCTCTCTGTGGCCATGTTGACTTTGATAGCCACTTGTAACTTTGCCTCCAGGTTGGGTTATTGTTTCAAAACTGAAGTTGGAGTTCGAAAAACTAAACCCGAATTACTGTTTTTGAAAGATCTGACACCTGGACTTTCTCCATTTGAAGAGGTTTTTAAGGTGACGAAATTGCATTTCTTATCCCCTATTGTAGTGAGTAAACACATTGCCCATTGCACCACTAAACTGTTCCAGTTAAAATATCTCGAGCTGAGTTCTTGGTTTGTTTTAATTTAGTTGCATTCTGAAACAGTAGTTTGGACAATATATAATTGGTTTCACTTTTCATGGACCAAGGAACGAGGGGGGGTGGAAATCGCATTCCTGTTCCTGATTGTCATCAGGAGAAAGTTTGTTAAAATGTCAGAATAGAGAATGAAAATATGATCAGATTTGACTCTACGCTGTTGAATAATCTGGCAGAATCCACTTGACAATGAAGAATGCCTATGAGCTACTTGAAGACTGCTGGCACCAATGGAACCTTACAGCACCAATGAACAGGGAGAGAAAATTGAACAATAACATAAATTTCAGCAATCTGAGTGACATTCAGGGTAGTTATTAGCTAGACTGCAACATTTAAGGATTGTGTTTAGGAACTGCTAAGTGAAATTGAATGCGACTAAAAATAAATTGGTCTGCTATGGCCATAAAAAAACGTACCTAAGTGATTTAATATTCTGTGATTTTCTGATAGGGTGATCTCAAAAATCCAAAGTTTCATGTTTCATCCAAGAAAATGTCATTATTTTGGGAAAAAAAAAGTTACATTCAGGTGAAGGGGAGAGTGAATTCTGATTTCTTTGTGTATCTTCATTATAAGCTTGATGTTATGTGCCATAAGACTTTGTACTGGATAAAATGTTATTGTTTTGCCAGTGCCAACGTTTCAGAAGTCTTCCATCACTGTGAAGCACCTTGGGATCGCCTGAGAGTTGAAAAGATACAAAGTAAATTAATATTTTTATCTAGTGGTTGTTTCAACTGCACGGATTTTGTAAAGCTAACAAACTTCTGTATTCTTTTAATCGGAAAAATGAAAGAATGTGAAGAGTTCAAACTAATATTTTATTTGAATATCCATCACACTTTAACAATTAAATGGACTGGTTATTGTAATACTAAACTATTTGAAGATGCTTGTTTTTAAAATTACTGGAAAACATGCCCACACATACTCCTTCTCCCTCCAACCCAAGAGTGACATTTCAGCTGAGTTGAAAATTGCAGTATATCTGCATATATCTGGTACCTTATCAAGATTATTGTTTTTCAATTTGGAGCAGAGATTACAAAATACAGTTATCTGACGAGGGAGCCAACATAGTGAGCCCCTGATGAAGGGTCCAGACCCGAAACATCGACTTTCCTGCTCGCTTGATGCTGGTTGACTTGCTGTGATCCTCCAGCTCCACATTTTATCAACTTTGACTTGCAGCATCTGTAGTCCTTACTACCTCATATTGAGCATCTTAATTCATAAGAACTGTCCAAGTGTAATGGCAGGTTAGAGATGACTAACTTCTCCCCTCTTTTGCTAAACCCAAAAAAAAGTCATAGAGAAAATGTGAGAAGCGATTATGTTTTTAAAAAATTATTCAAGACACTTAGAAAGAAAAAATCCCAAAGGTAATCAGAGACAGACAACATATTTTTGTGAATGGGAAATTATGTTTAAGCAATTTGTTGCAGTCCTTTTAAGAAGTGCTGTCGATAAAGGTGGGTGTGTTGTTCTTAGATTTCCAAAATCCATTTGGTAAGGTGCCATAATAAAAGTTATTGTGACAAATAAAGTTTCATGGTGTAGGAGGCAACCTATTGGCATTGGTAGCCAACAGGAAACAAAGCAGGGATAAATGGGTCTATTTTTGGATCGCATGATAATAAGTGGTGTGCCAGATGTATCGGTGCTGGGGCCTCAATCTACAATTTATATGAATGACTGGACGAAGGGACTGAAGATCTGGTTGTTAAAGTTGCAAATTACCCAACAAAAATAGGTAAAAAAGTAAATTGTGAAGATGGCATTCATAGGCTTTGAGGGGATATAGATGGATTAAGATGGCAAAGATCTATAAAATTGGAACATAATGGAAAAGTGAAATTACCCATTTGGCAATAAGAATTAAAGAAAAAGCAAATTTTCTAAACAGTGAGAGATTGTAATGTCTGGAGATTTAGAGGGACCTCGGTGACCTATAGTGTAATTTGCAAAACAGTAATGTGTAGTTCTGATAAGTAAGTAGAAAAGCTGATGCAGTACTCTCATTTATTGCAAAAGAAATTGAATAATAAAGTAGGGAGATTTGTTTCCATCAATAGGGGACCACTGAGTCCACATCCAGATTATTGTGTGCAATATTGGTCTCCTCATTTCAGGAAAGATGGAAATGTGTTGGAAGCAGTTTCAAGGTTCACCAGACTAATATCTGAAATCAGAGGGTTAACTTCTTATGAGGAAGAAGTTGGATATTAGGCTTGTGTATTCCTCACAGTTTTGGTCTCTCAACCTAAGAAAGGACATAGAGGGAGTGCAGCTGAGCTTCACAAGGTTGATGCTGGGGATCACAGGACTGTCATCTGAGATTAGTTCAACGGGCTCCTGTATGCACTAGAGTTTAGAAGGATGAGAGGGGATCAGATTGAAATATACAAAATTCTAACAGGGCTGGACAAACTTAATGCAGGAGGATTGGTTTCTGGGTTGGGAAGTCTAGAATCAAAGACAAAATCTCAGGATATGGGGTAGACCATTGCAGACAGATGAGGAAAATATTCCTTCACTCAAAAGGGTAGTGAACCTGTGGAAATCTCTACCAACTCACTGAACATATCCAAGAAATATGTAGTTTTTCTTGAGACATTGATGGTATCAAGGGATATGTGGAGAGAGCAGGAATATGGCACAGAGGTAGAGGGTCAGCCAAGATCATATGAACGGTGGAGCATGTTTGAAAGGCCAAATGGCCTACACCTCATAATTTCTACGTTTCTATTAGAGTATATGTGTAAAATATTTACCTTTGTAGGGAAAATATAGGCCTAGTGGTCACTTTCATAACAGAGTCATAGTCATAAAGAGCTACAGCACAGCAAAAGGCTCTCTGGTCCATCATCTGTGCCAGTCATATCGTAACACACCATGGAAACAGGGCCTTCAGCCCAAACTGGTCCATGGTGCCCACTCAGCTATTTCCAATTGCCCACATTTGGCCCGAATTCCTCTAAACCCTTCTCATCCATGTACCTATCCAAATGTTTTTTTAAATGTTGCTATTGTACCTGCCTCAACCACTTTCTCTGACAGCCCATTCCATATACGCACCACTCTCTGCATGAAGAAGTTACCCCTCAGGCCCTTCTTAAATCTATCTCCTCTC